CGCGACAGACGCGACAGACGCGACAGACGCGACAGACGCGACAGACGCGACAGACGCGACAGAAGCGACAGACGCGACAGACGCGACAGACGCGACAGACGCGACAGACGCGACAGACGCGACAGACGCGACAGACTACATACTCTACAAATCTACATACTCTTACATAATATACTAATCTAAATACATATACATACTTTACATACTATACATACTCTACATACTCTACATACTCTACATTACTCGACAACTCTACATACGCTACATATCTACAACTTACATACTCACATACTCTAAAGACTTACATACTCTTACATACTCTACATACTCTACATTACTCTACAATACTCTACATTACTCTACATACTCTACATTATCAAATACTTACATATCTACATACTCTACATACTCTACATAATCTACATACTCTAACATACTTAATACTCTACATACTCTACCATTTATTACATACTCTACATACTATACATCTCTACATTACCTACATACTTACATACTCTACATACTTACATACTTACAACGCTACATACTCTACATACTCTACATACTCTACATACTCTACATACTCTACATACTCTACATACTCTACATACTCTACAAACACCCAGTTTAAGTGTAACTGTACCCATGCAATGTCCTTAAATCAATCGATAAATGTGCTTACGGGATCATTCCCTTTCTTTTACTCGTTTTTTCCTTCTTTAAGCCTTTTAACTTAGCCAAGTCTCAGAGGCAATATTTTATATCGCATGCATATGGCTAATACGCTTAACAAAGCCAAGAAATCAACAATAAAAACAAGTACAAAATTATTGACCGGCTGTTACTGACTATGCAATACTCTGTCTTGAGCAGAATGATAGCTGAGAGTAGTTGGATTAATGCTTCTAAAACTGTCATTTAAAGAATGTCAAACTGGGTATGAACTACTTTAAGTAACTGAAGAGTTAGGACAGTTTATTAAGGCAGAAAATGTGCGCTATAAATGTAGCTAATATGCCCCTTTTCATGTGTCAAGCAGGGTATATGCATTATGCATTACTCGAGTAGACTTTGCCAAGGCGACTCACCGAGGGAGCAACAAGAAAGCATACAAGATGAACTTATCGAATGAGGAACTATATATATTGAAGATACATATATATATCAGTTTATAATATATATATCAACTATATATATATATATATATGAAACCTAATTGCTTGAATAAAAATTACAATGGAAGACTGAAAAAGCTAAATGTCTGTCAGTGGCAGATGCGGGCGCAATGATAGAATTAAAATTGGACTGCAAGGATTGTAATTACGCTCAAATAATATAAAAAAGCAGGCACAAGGATATGCAGCATGCTGAGCAAGCAAGAGATAGAGTGAGAGAGTGAGAGAGAGAGAGAGAGAGTGAGCGAAGTTTTGCCTCGTTTTTAATGAAATAAAATAAATGCAGCGAACTGAGTAGCTCAAGGAGCAAAAGCAGCAGGCGGCAGCAGAAGCAACAAGAGAAGAGAGAGAAAGGGGAGTAGAAGAAGAAGCAGAAGTAGCAGGAGGGGAAAGAGCAGCAGCAGGCAGCAGGCAGCAGGTCGCCGGCTTCAGCCACAAGGACAAAAGGCAAAAGTTGACATTACGATTGTGTTTATGGCATTGTTTGTGAAACTGTGTGTGTGTGGGTGTGTGTGTGTGTGTGTGAGTGTGTGTGTGTGTGTGCTGTTGATATTATATTACATTTTATAAATTACATTTTGTGCGCAGGCTAATGCCCAACATAAAAAGCCAAACGCTTGATTTTTATTTTGTGCCTTCAGTTGCATGCAGCAAATATTTATGCGCTGCAAAAGATGTTTGCAACCGGGTATATCAGCTGGCAGCTTAGCTACAAATGTGAATATTAGAATATATAGTAAAGGCTAGGAGTGACATGGTACATGGTACATGGTACATGGTACATGGTACATGGTACATGGTACATGGTACATGGTACATGGTACATGGTACATGGTACATGGTACATGGCACATGGTACATGGCACATGGTACATGGCACATGGTACATGGTACATGGCACATGGTACATGGCACATGGCACATGGTACATGGTACATGGTACATGGTACATGGTACATGGTACATGGTACATGGTACATGGTACATGGTACATGGTACATGGTAGAGCATCGCTTAGTCGGTTACTGCCGAGTCGCGCTTATTATTTTAGCTGCTGCTGTACATTAGCAGTCGACAGAGGTGAAGTCCTTCGTCCTTCGCTCGAGTTTGACTTCAATTGCACCAACGGAAATGCATTAAGAAATTCAACTTTGGCCCATGCAACAGTTGCACCAATCAAACCACGCCCCCGCCCCAGTCTTCCTTTTGCCGAATGCTTTTAATAGGCACTTGCATAATACAAACATATTTCCATATTTCCATACGCCCCCGATCAGGAGAACTACACCCCCCCCCCCCCCCTCCCTCCACCTATCCATCCCTTTTTTAAGCTGTTAGCTAATGCGATGTCTAGCCAATATATCGATTCATCTTAGAGGACTAAGCAGAGTAGGTTGCGGTACAGTGAACACAGTGAACACTCACTATAGTGAACTGTCAACGAGAAAGGTCAGAAAGCCCTAAATACAGCTAGGAATTATTTGAGAACGTAAAGAATATTTTTTAATATAGGCTGTCATGGCAGCTGACTGTACAGTAAAGACACACTTGAGAGGAAAATGTCAAAAAAAATAGCAATAAATTTTGAAATTCTTATGAAACGTTAAATATATTGCAGAAGTTTAGCTGATATAGCAGATTAGATGCATGTACAGTGAAGACTCATTGCCGCAAATCGCTAAATTCACTTAATTTATGCTGCTTAGATTAAGATAAGTTAAAACTTGTGTTTAAATCATTTATATTTAAGTTAAAAACAAAAAAAGAAACGTTTCATAAAAAGTTTAATCATGTGCGTGTTCACTGTAGCTGGGACACACGTGTCGCTTCTTTATAAATCAAAGCTTCAGATTAAAAAAAAAAACAATTCAAATAACTGGCTAACGAGGGAGAGTGAGAGAGAGAGAAACAGCGAGGCAGACACAGAGTGAGTGAGAGAGAAAGAGAGAAATAGTCAACCCACCCGAGGCCGACTTCATTGACGCCTAAAAGCGCGCAACATTTATACAAAATTTGTTTTCAGTCAACTTTTTTCTGTTTTTTTTTTTTTGTAATTTTGTTATTGATATTTTTATGACAAATAATCCGCTTTCACAGCAATTGATGTCAGGTGAAATGAAAGTTAATACCCAACAACGAGTTCAATTTGATTGGGGCGCAGCTGATAAAAAGCGAACGCTCGAAACTTTTATGATTAAATATATATATATATATATATGTATATATATATATTTGATGTCGCTGTCGTTGATGATAAGGCTAATGATCCCTTTGCCAATCATTATGATTGTATTACACATATTTGGCTTTAATAATAATACAAAACGAAGCCCGTCCCGCCCCACTTCCCTCCTCGCCCGCTCTTTGTCCTTATCGCTCGACCTGTTTGATTTTGTATTAAATTAGTGTCATAAATGTTTTTGCTGTTGTTGTTGTTGTTGAGGCAACTGGCTGCAGTTCCCACGACTTATCACAACGACAATAACAACAACAATTATTTACAACAATTTATTAAACAATTTTATGGTGTTATCGTTGCATTACGCATACGCCGCATGAGTCCAAGCAGCGCCCTCGACTCACTTGTAATGTAATTTCCGTTATGCATTTCCGACCCAACCCCCTCTCCACCCCCACTTCAACTGCTTTTCATTGAAAATTGTGCGTAAATTTATTTATCTGCTGCAGTTTGGCAGCATGCGCGGCAGTTCATTTCCGCTGCAGCAGCTCATTGATGACATCGCTGGTGCTTACTGCGCGACGCGTATCGGGAGTGTTCCCGCTAGCGATTTCGCGAGGAAACCTGTTCAACAGCTTCCATACAAGTGTCCTGCATGGTACTGTAGGCAATACTATAATATGATTTACTTTAATTAAGCTGAAGCCTAAAGCAATCATTCCAGCGAACTGAGATCCCTTAGACTAGGCGATACTAATTAAAAGTGGCATCATTAAGATGTGCCATAATGCTGTTGTGAAACAAGGATAAGATGATGGTAATAGTGGACCAACGGTACTTTGGGATAGAGGCCCTAATAGTAATACTAATACTAATACTAATGCTAATTCTAATGCTAATGCTAATGCTAATGCTAATGCTAATGCTAATGCTAATGCTAATGCTAATGCAAATGCTAATGCTAATGCTAATGCTAATGCTAATGCTAATGCTAATGCTAATGCTAATGCTAATGCTAATGCTAATGTTAATGCTAATGATAATGCTAATGCTAATGCTAATGCTAATGCTAATGCTAATGCTAATGCTAATGCTAATGCTAATGCTAATGCTAATGCTAATGCTAATGCTAATGCTAATACACATATCACTCCAAAAGTTTAAACGAATACCAATGTGAATACCAATACTTATAGTAATACTAATGCCAATTCTAATACTGACACTAATACCAATGACAATGCCAATACAAATACTAATCAGCTAATCCTCTCCCCTAAGTTCGATCTGGCAGCAATGCTCAGTTCTCAATTCGCATATATAGCATTATCATATAGTTAAAGCTTACCCTCATCGGCTTACCGTTATTTGTGTCGATCTCCTTAAATTCGTTTTCCATCTGCAGAATCCACGCCAATTGCTACGCAGTTTATTCATAGTCTACTTATTGGCGCTGACTATCTCGGTTATCCTCATCGTTGCCATTATTTATACTGATGCCAGACTCATTTCGTCTCGTTCTGCCCGCCCGTCGCCATGCTGACTGATGACTGCTGACTACTGACTGCTGACTGGCTGGCGAAATTGGCTTCAATTATGCGCCGCATTATGAAATTATGAAAGTAAGTAGCTGCAGTTGCTTTCGCTTTGGCCAAATGTAATTGCCGCAATTTGCAGTCGCAGTTGCAGTCGCTAATAACGTTTATTAAAACCATAACAACATGGCCTCCTGCTCCTCCCACTGCCCCACTCGTGTACCATTAACAATGAATGTTGCATGTGGCATGTGGCATGTAGCATGTTGCATGTTGCATATGTGTTACGCTGGCAAATTATGCAAATCCTTGTGAAGCACATTAATGACAATTAATCGCTGCAAATTAAAATGATGACAATGCTCCACATATGCCACAAGGACTTATACACAGCCTGCCCACATCCTCCCCGGCCCCCAACGCCTCCCCCTCTCTTAACGATAATTTATGAACTAAGCTGGATAGTTGATAAAGTGTTCGCCATTCAAGCGTCCCACGTCGCGTTCCCGCTGCTCCTGCCTGCGCTCCTCGTGCCGCCCATCGAGTCCTACGCCCAGGCGTTCTATGAACTTTTCAGAACGGTATCCATTTTTCTGTAAGAGTATTATACATATAGTACTATATAGTACATATATCTGATATTTAGCTCACCTCGTAGTAGAGAGTGCGCGCCTTTCTGGCCGCCTCTGGATCGAAGTCCCAATCGGTTCGCACATGGGTTATGGGCTCTCCAGCTACATTATTTTGCAGAGTTTCAGTGATCAGTCGCAGGATAAAGCCATCAGCTGTTCGAGAACCCAATATCACAAAGGAGCACTGCAAAAGGAAAAAGTACAGAGAATTAGTAAAAAATCTCTCTGGCCTTAAGATAACCTTCTCATCTTCATAATGATCTATTAAAACGGTCATGATCATTAAATGTATTATAATTAATTTAGAAAGTTAACCTAGTTTTCTGTTAAATAAACAAAATATATATTTTTAATATTTGACATATTAAACATCTATAAAAAAGCTTGTACAGTTAAATATTTTTAAAATATGCAATCTATAAAAACAATACTTGACAATATACATTTATGCAAATAACAAGATTTATTTAAATAATTTAATATTAACAATATAGATTAGTAAATAAGATATATTTAATAATTTAATTTACTTTACTTTACTTCACTTCACCCCCCGAGAACTGACAAGCAACTGATCAAGCACTGCAGCTGGCGCGCCCTTATATAGGCCACGGAGTCACTCAAAGTTGAGCTCAGCTGATGAGCGTTTTGTTCGGAGTGAATTTAAGAAGTAAAGTGAGTGAAGTGAATATAGAAAAGTTATTAAGCGGCTAAGCACACAGAGAGGGAGAGACATGACTAGATCAGAGTGAACGACTAGAAGATACCCTCTATACCATTTTGAGCTTGCAAATTGCTTTGTTTGTCGAACACTTCCCATAAGCTTCTATTAAAACTGTAAATGAACTTCAATTTGGAATAAATATATATTATTATAAATATATATATAGCCAACTATCTCTATATTAAACTTGAGCAACTTAACAGCGATAAAAGCGCTTCTTGAGTTATGTTATTACATAAAAAAAAACTACTCAAGGTCATTTTTGTTATGATTATTTCAAATATTTCGTCACATTCAACATTTTATGCACTCTCGTTCCACTCTCGGCCCACTTGAAATCCACGCAAAACTTTCGATTTGAATAAAAATCGAGGCATAGCTTAAATATTTTGTACAAATGTTTTTTTGCAGCAAGCAAATTGAAACGACTTTCACACTTACAGCCAACAAAAACAAATATCTCATTTGCAACATTTTCTAAAATTTTGATTTTTACTTTTGAGTAACTCAAAGCGCGGCCGTGCGAGTCACTGGACCATTGATCACTAAAACCAAAAGCTCGAAAAAAATCGCGCAGTTGCATAAAGCGCAGCCAAGCGCCAACGCAAATATAACTTGAATAAAGAAACCAAAAAAGCATCGACAAAACTTACGGTAAATAAAGACATCTTGTTTGGCAAACCAATACGAATACCGATAAATTGCAGAAAGAAGTGTGAGCGAGATGGGGAGATGGCAGGAAAGGCGAGGGAGGCAGAGCGAGGCAGGGAAGTGAACGAGGTAGAGCAGAATAAAGCAGGAGCGAGGGAGATAGATATCATAAATAAATATTCAATAGTGTGGTAAGAAAAAACAAAAGCTGAGCGATGATAAGTAATGTCCCAAACACAATGCGACAAATTAAATGAATACACTTTAAGAAAAAGGTCAATCGAACTTTGGCTTTGAGCGCGACCTTGAGTAGAAGACTTTAAGTACTCAGAAACAATTATTTTTTATTATTATTTTTTCATTCATTTTAATGTCATGCCAAATTCGTGGCAGACGGAACTAAATTGTGACTAAAGGTTAGTGGCACCTGCCATAAAAGCCCAAAGCAGCTTCAATAGAGGAAAACATAAAAATGGCACAACAAACAAAAGAAAGACGACGACAAACTGGTTGCACGCATTATCATTGCAGAAGTTACATAATGGATCAGGCCATCAACAACATCATCATCATCCCCATCATGAAGATCATGATGAGAAGGCAACAAACCAGAAAAAGCCAAAGACAACAACACTTCAGTAATTTGGCCTCAATTCCGTTAAAATTTTTTTTCGCTGCTTTAACAGCTGTGCCAAGCCGCGCTCTTGCACGCTCTCTGCGCTCTCACTCTCCCGCTCTCTCATTACGCTACGTGCCTGACTGCATGTCAACCTGTCAAATTTAGCTATTAGTTACGCTTGCTGCCAAAAGCTTTCAGCGAATTTCCGGCTTCTGCTGTCCAGGAAGCAGCGCTGCGTTAACAGCTGCTCGCTCTCAGCACAGGACTTTCCCTTTCATTGAGAGAGCACAAAGCCGACGTATTGGGTCAACAACAGAAGATTTCATGCAGCCACAAAGTAGGTTTTGAGCTTTCCAAACTGAGCTTTTGAAGCTCTTGCGCTTGCGCTCTGCAACGCGTGCTGTCTGCAACTGGAATTCAGTTACCAAACAAAACGCGCGCGGTCAACAACACAGCGACGACAACGAATTAACCGTTAGCGTTGTAAAACGTGATCACACAATAAATACAGTGGAGTCATTCGGATATATTTACAAGCAAATTTTTTTTTCTCCACTGTCGTAGCCATGGCAAATTTGAATACGTTGCTGTTGCCCGTAAGTATTTGACAGAGAGAGAGTGTGTATGGGCTGGCGTTGTTGACCCCATCAATTAACATGGCCAAAGCTAAAGACAAGCACTGACACAATTTCCGCGCGAAAGTCGCACCAAAAAGAAAAGTGTCTGCACCTACCTAGTAAATGTGACTGGAATGCACAATGAACTCAAGTTGTTGTCGTTTGCTTTGCTCCCATTGGTCAATGCAGCGACACATTTTGAATTGATGTCGGCGCCTAATTTGTAATCACTGCACGACAGAAGAGGAAGAGAGCAAAAGAGAGACCTTGAAATGTGCTCATTGCCCAATTCTGCAAATGATCGAAACGGCTTTTCCGCTCTCTCGCGCTCTGTCGCTCTCACACTCTCCGCCTGACAGCGCATTGATCAATTGCAGAGCTTACAAAATGTGTCATAATCTTAAAGCTCAGCCACTTGTTTTACTTTGGTTTCTTTCTTGTTGTTTTTGTTGTTGTTGTTGTGTTACATAAGCATGGCAATAACCGCTGTTGTTGTTGTTTTAACTCATGCAAGACTCGAGCCATTTGTTACAATTTATATGTGTCTGACACACTGAACTAATGAGCCGGCTTTACTTTTGCTTTATATCCATATTGCATATAATAACATTATTATTTAACTATTTTTTCTATTTTAGCTAATTTTCTTAATTGTCGCATTTGTTGCAAACACTTCCTACGCCACGGTGCAGCCGCGTGCTCCAAATTTTCAGTATTTTGAGAGGTAAGACTCATCTTTGTGTAACACTTTATATAATACTATAACAATTTTTTTAAAATAGACCCAAATACCGTTACCCATATTATGATGAAAATGGCCGAGGCAAACTCTTGTATGGCTATGGCGGACCGGATCTTTATCAATACAAGACATATACACCACTGGAGGGCATACATTAAGCAGCTTTAACTATATTTTAAAAAATATATATCTATTAATTGTAAATGTAGTTAAATAATTTATATTATCTAAATGTAAAGAAAGGCATTCAAATAAAAAATTAAGCGCGCCAAATGGTGAAATTTAAATGTAGATATTGCCATTAAGAACTACATTTAGTAAAATTAACATCTAGATGGCGCCAATAATTATTTTTTGCAGTTGTGAATGGCTACTTTTCATTGCGAATAGCAAGTTCTTAGTTGAATAGAAGAAGCAGCGGAAACGTTTGGAATATTGTAGATATTATTGAATTTAATAAGTTAAATTGTATTTAAAAACGAAAAGCAATCAAGATGTCACGCAAAGAAGCACTCTCACAGTTTATTAATCAAATACACGGCCGACCCGTGGCCGTTAAGCTCAATAATGGCGTCGACTATCGAGGTGTGAAACAAAATTTTGAGCCGGCATTTGATTTGGAAATGAATTTAAACTAAATAAAATTGTTTTATAGGTGTTTTGGCCTGTTTGGATGGCTATATGAATATCGCACTGGATCAAACAGAAGAATATGTTAATGGACAGTTAAAGAACAAATATGGCGATGCTTTTATACGAGGCAACAATGTGCTCTACATTTCCACACAAAAGCGTCGAGTGTAAAACGAAAAGAAACTAAAATTAAAAGACGAAACTTACAATTTATTTCATAAATACATTAAAGTACTAATATACTGCCTCAAGGATCAGCTCGTGCTGCGTGGTATCGCGCCAAAGTGTCGCAGTTGATTTAGGGAGTAGCCCGCGCCGAGCGCTGCAATTAGATTTTCGCCTCTTCGCCCAAATTTTCGCTCGTAAACTGGCCGCCAGTTGCGACCGAAGTGTGGATCGAAGGGTATTTCGCTCGGTTGCTGGAACGGCGAATTGCCCAGGAACAGTCGTTCGATGTAATCCAAGACGGCTTTCTTTTTCTGGAAGTGCACTATAATGGGATTGGCCTGTGCGCCATAGCGTGGATCTTGAGAGTCCAAATTCTTGAAATATTGAAAATTGACCAAGTCCACATTGGAGAAGTCAAAGGCCTCCAGGAGCGTAGCCTCCGTGCCCAGCAGCAACAGCTGCAGCCCCTGCAAGTGTGAGGAAGCGTATGCTAATTAACCGCTGCTACCATCATTTAGTTGACTAATTGCCCACTTACCACTAATCCGAATGCAATTAACATGTAATTCCACATTTCGCTACCCTTTAAAGTCGCAGTTCCTCTCAGTTGTCCACACGAAATTCAACTGATTTGTATAAATTTCGGCTAGCGCTTGTCCAGCATGAATTGTCCACCGATTTGCAATCCATATATATGTATATATATATCTGTTTTCCCCTCTTGTCTTTTGTCGTAATCAATGCCAAGTTACTCAATCGGACGCCCAGCCAAATGTAAAAGACAATACGTGGTCGCCCACCTCGACTAATTAATTGTCATGCAGGCCACATAGTCTAGCCCAAGCTCCCCTCCACACCTGTCCACCCGTTCCCCTAGCTGTGGCTATGATAACCTGTCCAAGCGTTAAGCCCTGCCGAAAAAGCAGCTTTTGATGAGAAGCATTTTGCATTCGCTCTAAATATTAAGGCATACAAAGATATGTACGAGTCGCTGGGAGACTACCAAACACCCTGTCACGCCTACTTTCCCACCGGCCGCCCCTTTCAAGCGTGACTTTTGGTAACCTGTATTTGAATCAAAAAATCAGTGCATTCGATAATTTGTTCATTTTTCTTGAGACTTGATCGTTTATATCTATGCATTAAGCATATTACCTGCAGGCGACTAAACAACTTGACACGCCCTCTTTTGCAAATATGCGCCCCTTTCAAGCGTTAACTCTAAAACAGCTTTTGCCATTTGCGTTGATCCAGAAGCAAAACATATACAAAAACATAAATCAGTACAGTAAAGCTTGCCTAAGCTAAACAGTTAGTACACGAAAATTGAAAATATTATTTTGTGCAATTTAATGATCCGATAATTACAAACGAAGTACATCAAATCTGGCAGCAGTTGTGCTGTAGGCAGGTTTTACTGTAGTTCCGTAAATATGTAGCAAGCTAGTTAAGTGTGTGTGTAGCCTCACTATTTAAATTGTTTATAAATTATTTTTTTATTCATATAAATATATGAAAATTTCGTTAGCTCGATTTTTAACTGATTATTTGTTTTTTTTTTTTTTCTATTAATATCAGAAATTGTTTTAAAATATATATGAACTATATATGTATGCATGTGTGGCCTGACTATTTTCCTTTTTTTATTATTATTATATATAAAATCACATTCCTATTATTTATATATATATTTTAATGTTATTATGCAAAATTTCAATTGTTTTTGCCTGCTTTGCTTTTCAACTTAAATTTTTTTTGTTTTTCACTTAATAAACGAAAAAGTAAGATTGTGTGTGTGGGGGCAAACGAGAAACAAGGCGTGGCTAGGAGATTGCTCTTTGCGTTCACTTAGACCAAGCGATCAGTTGCTTCATATCTTCATCTGTAGAAAATAAAGGAATTAGTTGCAATATCATTTACAGGGTATCTGTGCTGCCTACCATCCTCTCCCTCGGTTACACTTTCTTTTGGGACTGCCTTTTTCTTTTCCTTGGCTTTCTCGGGCAAATCTTCGGTTGGTGCTTCGGGCAACGTGGGCGTTGGCTCGGGTATGCCAATGATCTCCTTGTCAAAGTTCTCTTGCTCCAGTTCGTCCAGCTCCCTTTCCAGATCTTCATCATCCAGATCGGCGCCAAAGGCCACGGGATTGGATATGGCATCGGATATCTCACGTGCCACATCCTGTTGTTCGGCTATGTCGTCCATCATATCGTGCACCTTGTCCACATCCCTAACAAACCAGAACCAGAAGAGGATTAATGAGCTTCTACTTTCATTAAGCTGAATCTCTTAGTCAGAATGTACTTACATGTTTTGGTGCGCGGATTTCAACGCATCTGCTGCGTTCTTCATGGTGGTCAACACCGCTGTATTCGTGTTAGCGCTCTCCAGAGCCTCCCGCTGCATCTCAATGGTTGATAAGGTGCCATCGATTTGCTGAAGCTGTTTCTCCAAGCGCTTCTTCTTTTTCAGTGCCTGCAGAGCGACTAGAAGAGGAGGCGACAGAAATTTGAATACAGCAATTACAGATAAGAAACTTTAAGTAAACAAAATGAATCTAGCAGGTGATGACAAATTTTTTTGTTTGTTATCTTTTGCCCAATTGTTAAAACAATTAATTAAATGTTTATATTACGTTCTTAAACGGGTTTTAGCATACAATAGCATCCAGCCAGTTAAGCAGCAAGAAAGGCGAAGAAATACATATTTATATATTGAATTCTTTATACTTCATATTCCAACTCAAACGTGGCAAGGTGATTTCTTTCAGTGTAAATTTCATATTTAAGGCAACAAAAACAAAAGCAAAAGTTAACAATAAATGAGTCATAGCTATTGGCACATACCAGGTAAGCCCTAGCTGTCGTTTATTTATTGATTAATCACATACCTCTTTTGTTTTTTGATGCATTTTTGCGTGCTGTATTTAATTCCTCCTCGATTTTGGACTCAAGAAATTCTTGTTTTTTTATCAACATATTTTCGGTCTCGCGCAGCTTTTGTATCGCCTCCCCTGTGGTGGGAGCGACCTCTTTTTTGCCACCAAACATTTTGCCAAAGAAGCTCATCGTGTTCGCTTTTGCTTTTCAGCACAAATTGTATATTAAATTATAATTAATTAAAGTTTTTCCTATTGCGTTCTTCCTGCAGACTTTCGTCTGGTGTTTTTGTCTATGGGCGAGTGTGCGTCATCGTGTTATCGAAAAATAATTACAAACATATGCAACCAGCACGAGACGATAGCGATAGGCAACATGCAGCCGTGCTTGTGTTGACTGTTGCTAGCCAGCCCTGCAACAGAATTGTGCGCTAAAACTCCTTTAAAAAACTGACATGAAAAATGTTCGTGACATTAATAAACCTATCTCAATGTCTACTTAAGACGCACTTGTTTAAAATAAGAATAAATGTAATAAACAATAAATATACGCTGCAATCGATAGACAGCATGCAGCCCTGTGTCTGTCTGCCAGCCCTGCAAAAACTAAAATCAGAGTTGTTCGCTTAAATGCATTGACAACAAAATAGAGTAAAAATAAATAGCAAATGGCAAATCGCACGGTTAAAGAAGCGAAAAACGTGCACGGCACAAATCCGCAATATTTAATAGAGAAGATCATACGCTCACGGGTGTATGACTCCAAGTACTGGAAGGAACAATGCTTTGCGCTTACCGCCGAGCTACTGGTCGATAAGGCCATGGAGTTGCGTTTTGTTGGCGGCGTCTACGGAGGAAATATAAAGCCGACGCAATTTCTTTGCCTAACGCTGAAAATGCTGCAAATTCAGCCAGAGAAGGATATCGTGGTGGAGTTTATCAAGAACGAGGAGTTCAAGTATGTGCGTGCATTGGGCGCCTTCTACTTGCGTCTCACAGGCGCCGCAATCGATTGCTACAAGTATCTGGAGCCGCTATATATTGATAATCGTAAGCTGCGTCGCCAGAATCGTGCCGGACAGTTCGAGATCGTCTATATGGATGAGTATATCGATGAATTGTTGCGCAATGATCGCGTATGCGACATCATTTTGCCGAGGATACAAAAACGCTCCATATTAGAGGAAAACAACGAACTAGAGCCGAAGGTTTCTGTTTTGGATGAGGATCTGGATGACGAGGTACCCAGCGAGGACGAGGCCAAAGACTCGGAAGAACTAGATTCGAGCCGCCAGAAGAACAACTCCTCGAGTTCAGTGCGGCGTCCACGTCGCGGGCGCTCCAAATCCAAATCGCGTGAACGAGATCGACGAGGTGCTCCTCCCAGCAGCAATGCTCGCTCTAGGGATTACTATGATGAGCTAGAAGAATATGATAGACAGCGCAATCGAGTGCGGACTCGAGACACACAGAATCACAGCAGCAGCAACTACAATGACGACTACGATCGCCGCCAATCAGGACGCAATGAAAACCGAAGGGACGGAGAGCGAGACAGACGCGATCGAGATCGTGAACGGGAGCGTGAACGGGAACGGGACCGGGAAAGGGAACGTGAACGCGAACGACATGGTGACAGAGAGCGAGAGCGAGAGAGGAACGGGGACAGAGAGCGTGAGCGGAACGGTGAACGTGAACGAGAGAGGGAACGAGACCGCAGCAATCGTCACGAGCATCGGGATAGAGATTCACGCAATGATCGCGAGCGACGACGCTACTGAAATTGATCACTAAACTAGACATTTAACATTATTTTGTAAAGAGATAAAAAAAATTAAAATTTGAAAAACAGTTAACGCTCAATAACTATTTAACTATTTAACAAAAACTAAACTGAAGAAAATGAAGCAACTTAATGAGAACGCGTTTCGCAAACGCTACAAATGGCAACGCTTGTAAAGAACAGTGATTTACTCAAAATGGCATGGTAAACAAGAACAGCTGTTGCTGCAGTGGAAAGCTTTTGTGTTTAGAAAGTTTGCGACGCGCTGTATGAGCTAATGAGTAACAGTGGAACAAATACTATTAAGTAGTATTGTGTGAAGTGTAAACGCAACTGGACAGAAGTTCCGTTCCGCTAAATTACGTGCTCTCACACACACATACACTTACTGAACATTGTGAACGTCGCAAATTATAAAGAGCGCGATTTGTGTCAGTGCAGATTAACGAGTTTTTATTTTGTTTTTTACTTAGTTAATAACAATTCAACATGATTTGCTAGTTCCTTTGTCTAAACAAACAACTCCAACTTTTGCTGATACTAAATATATTTAAAAAAGTGAAGCCAATAAGATGAGCGCATCAGCCGATCGAGAGCCTTTGGTAAACGAGGAGGAGCAAGATGAGGAACAAGTGCCACGCCTACTAGATGCTGCCGAGTCACGCTCAGATATAGAAGCACCTGCCTTGCCCGTATCCAATGAAGACGGCAGCTCTACCAAATGGTTTATACTAGAGCCCGCTGTATTCTTGATTTTTGTGGGTCGCAGCTTGATTGGTAAGCAAAATTAATTTGGCTGCTAATTGGAGTCTAACATAGTCATACTTTACTGTACTGTTTTTAGGGGCGGTGCTGCAGAATCAAATACTGTACCAAACCTGCGTTACGATCATGCACTACAACGAAACCCAATGTGAACCGTTGCTGGGCGTCGATCGCGGCTCGGAGGAAACAAAAGTAGGTTTCCTGTGTCAGCTCCAGATGTTATCTTATATAGTATATATGCGATATATGCAATGGTTAACCGTTTGGTTATTAAGTTAAATATGAGAGGAGCGAACTGAGACGGTATATAACTATAAATGGTTCAGTTATACGGGATATCCGTTAATCCTTCGTACTATTATATATAGTTTATGTAGTCCTTCTCTATTAAGTAGCTCAAAACCTGTTGCAAACTCAGATCTATCTATATCAAGTCACTAGCTTCTCCAATACCATAAGGCTAGACAGCTTAGATCGGGTTTAGGATCATGTTTCGTATACTTTGCAATCAGAGTTAGCTTTTTAGCTTATCTACCCGACTCTACTCAGTCCTCTATCTTGACATCCACAATCATTTTATTTGACAGGGTATTAAAAATTTGCTTAACAAGTCTCTTTCGGCTTCTCTCTTGTATTCATATCTTTAAAAAGCGCATTTCACATTTCTTATCGCTCGAATTGTTATATACCAATTTCCATTATGCGAACGACTTAGCTTTACGAACTGTTTCAGAAGCATCAACGAAATCCAATCAGAAGAAAAGCAAATCTATTTCATGATCTATTGTTTCCCCAGGCAGCAAGGGGGAGATAAGAATGAGAACCTCTATAGACATATATGCATATATACATACACATATTGAAAATAGTTCAGCTCTTATCGGGGGCTTATGAACAAGGTCTCTGAAAATGCATGACTAATTGTTAAAGTAGGCACAGAATATTATCGATCAAGGAATATTTTGACTGCACCCAAATGGAACGCGATGAATCATTCCAGTACTAGTTCAACAGCTGTTCGAGAATTGTTATTAAACAATTAAAATGCATACTATTTTTATTGTTGTAGAAGTTGGAAACCGAAGTGCAGGGCTACTCAGCGGACATAACAATGGCCATATCGCTATTGGAGAGCATAATGCCTGCGTTTGTCAGCCTCTTCATTGGACCCTGGTCGGATAAGTTTGGTAGAAGGCCAATACTGCTAACGGTGTTTACGGGTAAGATAAATATACAATCCAATTCGTTTTATTGACTATTATAATAAATATTAATATTCAATATAATAAATATTGTAATTAATAAATATTAAATATTAATTATAATTATAAAATATAAGTTAATTTTACTTACTTATATTTTATAATTATAATTAATATAATTATATAATTGTAATTAATTAGTTTTATTCAATTATTATTTTTTAAATTATTTTTTTATATTTGCTTTTCTTACTAACGTCATTCTAATTATTCTAATTGTTTATTAATTAATTAAAATTATTTTCAATTTAAATTTAAATCAAACATTTTAAGAATGAAATCTCTTGCCAAATAGATTTTTTGTTAGATATGTGATAATTTGAGTAACTAATTAATTTAATTAGAATTTGAATTAAAATATTATTGCTAATTAATATTACATATTAATCTGAAGTTAGTATTGATAAATGTCAATAATTAAATTCCAGATAAATTTCATATTTCTATATATCTCTCCATTAATATATCTAAATGCCATTTATATTTCCGTTCTCAGGCTACGTAGTAGGCGGGAGCATCTTGATGGCCATATCGGAGGTAACAATGTTCCGCAACATTAGTCCCTGGTGGTTCCTGCTGGGCTCGGTTCCGTCCGTTCTGAGCGGCGGCACTTGCGCCCTAATCACGGGCATTTACTGCTACATCTCCGACGTGGCCAAGGAGCAAAAACGCGCACTGCGGTAAGTCCCTCTTGCGTTTTTCAGTTCGATCCAGAATTGCGATTAATTTGAGGCTATTTTCAGAATGGTGCTGAATGAGGCATCGCTGTGCGCCGGCTTGATGGTCGGCAATGTGGCCAGTGGCTACATTTATGCCGCCACCAATTCGGTAACGCTGTTTGGCATTGCGGCCGGCTTGATGTTTCTGGCGCTGGTCTATGTGTACTTGTTGGTGCCGGAGAGCTTGCCCGCTGAGGATATACATCAGGGCTCAAAACTGCGTGAATTCTTTCGCTTTGGCCTGGTCAAAGATCTGGTCAGAACGAGCGTATTGCGACGTGACAACTTCGATCGCGCCTTCATCTGGCTAACTATGATTGCGCTGACCATAACCATCTTCAATATGGAGGGCGAGAATACGGTGAATATCATGTTCATGCGCGAGCAGTTCGACTGGACCATCAAGGACATCAGCCAATTCAACGCGGCACGCATTGTCATACAACTCTTTGGCAGCGTGGCTGGCATGATACTGCTGCGACGCGTCCTTAAGGTCTCCATCATCAGCGTGGCCATGCTCTCGCTGGCTGCCTGCGTGCTGGAGAGCACAGTGCGTGCCACAGCGAAGTATTCGTGGGAAATGTACTTGGGCATGACGCTCGGCATGATGCGCGGTGTTCTGGGACCCATGTGCCGGGCCATACTATCGCATGTGGCTCCAGCCACGGATGTGGGTGAGTGCCTCACTTTGACTCGCGCTCTTTAACAGCTCAAACCAATTTAACTTAACTTCCATTTTTTTGCCAGGCAAAATCTTCGCTTTGACCACATCCATGGAAATGGTCTCGCCGCTGGCTGCTGCGCCGCTTTATACATCCGTCTATAAGGCCACTGTGGGCTTCTATCCCGGCGCCTTTAACTTCATAAGCGTCGGCCTTTTCTTCCTCTGCTACATTCTAATGGCGTAAGTAGTAACTACACTCGCACATGATATATAGATATGCATTTAAATCTCTCTCCTCTCTCTACGCTTGCAGCATCATCTTTGGCATTCAGAAGTCGATGAACAACTCAAGCGTCTATAAGGTCATAGGCAGCTAACCGTGCGTTACCTCAAGCCCGGCTTAGGTCAATTACCAATACCTTAACGAAAATGCAATTTACCTTTTTTGTGATGTCTAGACAGAATTCTTTTATATACCTAATGTTAACCGTAGATAGTCCGATTTTATATCACAATGTCAAGTATTAGATATTTTTCTTTTTGTAAATGTGATTGTGAACGTAACTGTAATTTCATTCAATTAACGTAACTGCCCATAGGAACTGAACTGTATATAAGTGGCGATATCTCGTAACTATCAGCGTATACAAAGTTGTAAAATACAAACAGAGGGAGAGGTCAAGCAAATTGTATTATAAAAACTAAATCAAATTAAAACGCTTGTAAAAAGTAGGCCAAATCTAAATAGTGTCTATAATTAATTGAATCATTCAACAATTCGTTAAATTTATTGCTTATTAGAAATAATGGGCTAGATCAGATCACAATTATTTACAAATATTAACTAAAACTAAACTATAAGTAAGATATATATCGCATCCCATCGGAACACCTGGCGCCCTTCTATTTAAGCACCTTGGCATAGTATTGCTGATGCATGAGCTTGAAGCGTAGCACAAAGCTGCAGAAATGTACATAATTAGCATTGGCATTAGCGTTAGCATTAGCATTAGCATTAGCAACTTACCAGATGAATATAAATGACATCATATAGAAGCCCACGCTCATAAAGTTGAAGAGACCCGGGTAATAGTGAAGCGAGCTCTTGTAGACGAAGGTGTAAAGAGGCGCAGCAACTAAATTAATAACAATTAATAAATAATTAATAATGCTAATGCCAATGCACAGCTCAGCTCATAGCGAGTTGGGCAACAGCTTACCAAAAGGTGCAAACGATTGCAAAACGTTTTTGATCGAGAAAATTTTGCCTGAAAAACAAACAGAAATTGAAGTCTAAACAAATTAGATAGATAATATATGGGGCCTACCCAAATCGGAGGCAGGCACGATGTTGGAGACAATGGTGCGGCACATGGGTCCGCCAATAGAACGAAATACGCCCAATATCACCGATAGATACATGTGCCAAGGCTGAGTCGAGAAGCCTCTCGCCAAGTTCTTCAATATTTCCGAGGCAAACGCAAGCAGCGCCAATGTTACCACAGATAACCGAAAGATCTGTGAATACATATAGAGTTAAGATCATATTGCATAGTTTGAATAGCCAATAGCATATAGGATATCCCCCATATATCTTTGCAGTATTTGCTCACCTTTCGCAGTATCAGAAATCCGATGAGTGCTCCCACCATGGGCACCAGATGGCTGACCGTCTCGTAGAAGGTGTAATCCCTCACAGACCAATGGAACTTCTCGCGCACGAACAAATACATCACCGTCATCACGCCATCTGTCAGATAAATTGTTAGTTGAGTCTAAAGTGAACGACTAGCAGATATCCTATAACTCAGAATAAGAGTTGACTTTGCCATACTGCCAAATACTCTATCCCAGACAGCAATGTCTGCTTAAAACATAAATGACCGATTAGTAAATACCCTATATATGACAGTAGAGGTTACCATCTGATGAACTTCGAGATACCCTAAAATTTTGTATTCTAGAGTGAGCTACTAACAGATACTTTGTGCACGAAAGTGTAAACAATTTTATTAAAAAGTGAACGACTAGCAGATACCCTATACTTGAAAGTAGAGCTTACATTAATCTAAGCAACTTGCAGATGCTCTAAGCACTAGTTGTTTTTATCTACACTATACCACTACTAGATACCCTATGCTCGAAATGGTATACGACTAGGAGATACCCTGTACTCTAAATGAAAGACTACTGTAGCGCAGAATCATAACCGATAGTAAATAATCAGTAGTAGCACCAGATACCCTATACTCAGCTGCTTCCCTTTTACCTTTAATTCTGGTCGAACTTACCAAAGACAAAGATGGACAGGCACATGGCTATTGTCACTAGCCAAATAATTGCGCGAGCATGATTTTCGCGTGGCTTCGTACAGGTGTTAACCATCTCGCGGATGTGTGAAAAGCTGAACAGTCCGGTCTTTTTGCCATCGGTTTCGGTCTGCGACTTGCACTGGGCCTGTGCCCGGGCCTTTACCTTGGGCGGCAGCTGCTCCACATATTTGGCCAACAGATCCTCATCGAATGTCATGTTAGGCGTGGCGGGCGTGGGCAGCTGTTGGCATTGTTGTTTCTGCTTATCCTGCTCTGAATCGCAATCAGGATTCATGAATATGGGCGGACAATCAATGGCCACACACTCCGGTTGTAGATCAGAAGCCGTAATGGGCATTTCTTTTTCTTTACTGGCAGCGGAGGCTTCGCTCGCCATCTTGGCCTCATTAGCTTGTCGATAATGCAGACTCTCCGGCACGACGAATACTACAAAGAGGCAGCCCAATGTAGTGATGCAGCCGGAGATGCCAATCGTAGTAGCTGAATTGGTCGCTGCGTAGACGAAACTGGACAAGAGCGAGCCACTGGTCAGGCCGATGAAAAACAGCGACTCCATGAAGATCATGCTGAGATGAGAAAGATGAGATTATATCTAATCAGGCCGATTACTAGAGTACTCAACTTACCGATATGGCCGCGTTTTGGTATCAGTTATGTCCGAGATGAAGCAGAGAGCTGCCACAGAGAAAACGCAATTGCCGCCTAGCAAGGAATGCGGTAAAGCAGCCGCAATATACCACCAAGGATTGATTACATAATGGGTGGACAGTTGACAAATGGCAGAGGTAACCAGAAACGATAGGGCAAACCCTGTAAAAATATATTTACCAGGTATAATAAATGCGTTGGCCATCCAAATGAATACAAGACTCAATTTTTCTTCCTTGGGCGCGAGCTTAGCTGATCATGATATATTTTATTCACTCACACTCGCACCTACCATGTAAAATTCAATTAACGTCAGCTTTTGTCCAGCTGCTGTCTCGCTCTCACAGATGACAACTATTAATGAAGCTACTCAATACTAAGCGAGCACAAGGGTAAACGAATGGCGAATGAATGAGAAGATTGCAGCATGGGCGTCAATAGGATTTTTTGAAGGGGTTTTACTTTAACTAGAAGTGACCCTTGGTAATTGCAAGTAATAATGACATTATATAATAGTTTAATAATTTTGTATAGTTTATATAGTCAAACTATACAGAGTACAGGGGGTTAGCTAGCTTTGCCTACGCTCACAATAGCAAATAATTAACAGTTATTTAATGGCTGCAATCTAACCAATCGCCGACACACTGGTATATTGTATCGATATATATACACTGGTATGTATAAATATAATATATATGTATAATATAATATAATATAATTTTCATTTACCAATCATGGACACGATTAGCAATGGCTTCCGTCCATAGTGATCCGACCAGGAGCCAATGAACAGGCCAAAAAAAGCAGGCACAATACTCTCCAGCAGCGTGCGCGATAGAAATAAATTAGCCACATACGGCTGTAGCTCCGTTTCAATCGCCTGGAAAAAAATATAATTTAGTGACAGTTTCGTATAATATACGTATATATAAATATACACCTTTATTTCTGCGCTGGAATTTTTATCGTCCAGTAACTTACAATCGGTTACATTGTAGTGAAAGATCACTGTGCAGGTCTGATAGATTATCTGATTTCTCATGATGGTATCTAAATGTTTACAGATATAGAAAAGCTTATATAATGGTCATTTGAGGCACTCACTAGACAATGTTATCGAGAAGAGCAGCATAAACACAACCGGTTCTATGTAAACCATATGAAAAATTCGATGCCATTGGACATCGCGCAAACGCTTGAGTGTCAATGTTGGCGACACTTTTTGTACCATTTTAAAACTTTTAGTTTATGTAAATACTTTGTATTTATTTTAGTCTGGGATTCCGTTGTAAACTATTTTGACACTTGTTTCTCTTGTACACAGTTGGCTATGCGTAATGTTTTTTAAGAATGGTCCTGGCCTTGATCAACTGGCTACGACGGGATTCGAAATGGCATACTAAGCATATATATCATATTTTTATTTCAGATATAGTTCAACGAATCTATTACTTTAGGGGCCACTTTGAAGTTCGCTTGGTTATGTTAAATGTTTATTAATTAGACTCTGTCGAATTTAAACATTGACATAATAGCAATAAACAAAAATAGTTATCACCGTGCGCACTTCACAGTTCAATTTTATATTACGTATACAACATGTATACACACGCACACACACAGCGATCTTGACCTTATTTGAGTTTTAGCTCAGTTTGGGATCAGAGATGCGGTTCGAATTGTAGATTGATTCCGTAAATGAGCTGCTCGCTGTACAGCCTCTGCGTTTTATATGCGGAAACAGCAAAAAGTTTAACAATAATGTAAAATGAAGCCGCACACAAATATTCCACAACACTTGTTCATCAAAAATCCACTCCATGAAAAACACATATACATATGTAATGCACCTATGTACTTCTATGTCCGCTGATTCTCACAAACATTCCGTTCCCGACACGACTCACTGAATGGCTATAGCCAGGTAGCTCGATATCGCCGCCTCAACGATTCCGATTCAATTAATTTCTATTTTGCCGACTGCCAGCCTTAAGTAACTTTTTGTGGCCCCCTCGACAGCACCTGCTACAGGTTTAAGCATTTCTAAGCCAAACTTTCTGTTGTTTTTATGCCCGTTCAGCTAGCTGTGCATTGAGTATATGGGCTTAGTCCCTTGATACGCTACTAACTAGAAATTGTAAATTAATTATCAATTTGTATAGCCGGGTATACGCTAGTCGGTCAAGCTCACCATCATCATAATCTGGCTCAAAAGATTTCAATATGCAAACATTTATATAAAAAAGCGTTTCTTGAACTGTGAACGAGCATAGAGAAGTCGTGCATAGCCCTTATATCCACTTGTTTTCGTCGTGCAAATGAGAAGCACGAGCCACAGTCAAAGCCCGCAAGAGAGTCGCAAAAAATTAACAAACTCTTCGGACATCAAATAAATCTTATTTAAGGAAACGTAGCAAAACATCTGTTTCAGACTTATATATAACTTGTATTTTATATGTATACATATATATTATATTATATTCTATACATAAATTATTTAGTTGTACACAAATATGTAACTCATATTTCAGGTGGAGCTGTAAAGCGAGTAGAATTTATTGTCTTAAAACGCATTCAATCAAAGCTCTAATTTTAAATTAGCAAACCCAAATTAACGCTCAATTTAGCATCTGAAGTCTGTTTGTTTATCTTTCATATTTATATACAAATATACATATATGTATCAGTATATACGTATATATATATATATTTGTGAAGAGTTTGTCAAGTGACTGGCGCACACGCCAATGACTGAAAATTAACAGAGAATTGTTTCGATTCGCATGCCACTGCTATTAACCCAATACTAAAAAGTGGAAAAGTCAAAGGCAAATCGAAAATTATTTCAATTATATTTATAATATGTAAACAATTGTTAAATGTGGCAAATAGAAAGCGCAATTATCGTTTTGCCCTGTGGCGCCTGTTGTTTGATTTTGTGAATACTCTGTAAAAGTAACTCAGAAAGGTATATGCATTCTTAGAGACTGTATAAAAAATTACTTGTAATTTTATATGAATTAACTTTTGATAAATAATCGATTTTGATGCCTAGCCCTTAAGCTGGAAGACTTAAAGTAGCTAGCAACTAGATGTATTCGATCTAATATATATATTTTTTTCCTCTGCTCCCTCGCTACCCTCCAAAATTTGTCTCCAAGGTATCTAGCAGTCGCACACTCCCTTTCTTTATCTCATATATAACACAATTGGTCTACACACATATATAAATTCCTTCATTCGCCCTTAAATAAATACAGTTTCAGGGTATTTCCCAGTCGAGCCAACCCAATCGTCGTTGTTTTTATGTTGGACCATAAAAATCCCCCACTCAATGTACTTATCACAAACTTCGCACATTGGTGGTTTTTATTATAAGCAAATATTCAAATAGGGTTTTTTTATATTTTTTTATATACATACATTTATAATATATCTTCCAAACCGGCCAATTTGTATAATTGATGTGCAAATTCGTCGAATGACGGGCACATTTAATTTAATTAGTTTTTAAAATATCATTTGAAAATCGGCTCGTAGTGAGCGACATGTTTGGATTTCTTTCGCCAGACGACGCTGAAAACGAAAACAAGAAAAAAACGAATTAATTTTTTGTCAAAATTAGCATAGCAAATGTTATTTGCATAACTCCGTGGAATACGCACAGCAGCAAGATTATCGCCAGACCAAACAGATTGGCGCTGATCAGATTGAATAAGCCCGGCGCCGTGCTCAATGTGAGCGTGTAAAATACGATATATATCGTAGACGAGGCGAACGGAGAAAGCGTCTGCAGCACGCTGAGCAGCGCAAAGACTTTGCCTGCAAGAGATAAGAGATACGATTCCAATAAAGATACTAGCAACTCGATTGCAGCGCCTAAGATACAAATGTATCTTAATGAGATATACTCAATAATGCAAATGATATTGTAATAAAAAAGATAGAGATACAAGGGTCTCTCAAAGATATAAATTTACCTCAAAGATACGAGTGTCTTAAAGAGATACACAAATGTCTCATAGATACAAATGTATCTCACAGATATCAATGTATATCCCAGATACAAATGTATCTCACATATACAAATGTATCTCAAAGACACAATTATATCTCAGACACACTAAAGTCTAACAGAGATACAAATGTGTCTCTAAGATACAAATGTATGTGATTGAAATATGCAAATGTATCTCAAAGATACAAATGTATCTTAAAGATACAAATGTCTCAATGATATACAAATGTGTGTAAGAGATACTTATGCATCTCACAGATACAAATGTTTATCCCCGATAAAAATGTAGCTCAAAGATACAAATATATCTCATAGACGCTGTCTTACAGAGACACCACTGTACATAGGCACAAATGTATCTCAGATATATAGTACAATACAACTCAAGCACTCATGCAAATGTTACACTAAAGATACAACAATTCTCAGACAAACCTCGCTCATCGTCTGGCAAGAGATTCGTAATCATTGTGCGGCACATGGGATTCACCAGAGACTTGAAGAGACCCAAGCCAATGGCCAAATAGATTTGCCAGTCAACAAAGGCAAAAGCTTTCATCAGACTGCTCGCCGCGTGACTCAGCAGCGAGATGAGCGCCAGCCACAAAACAGCCGACCCAGTGCACTGCCAAATGAAATAAATAAACGAATTAATAAATTTATATATGGAGATGGCAAAACTGTTTCTGGGAATCCTACCTGGCGTAGCGACCATAGAAATAGAATGCCTCCCGAACCGGCCACAGCGGGCACCAAAATGCTCACCGACTCGTAGCTGGTGAAGTCCCTTACGCTCCAATGGAACTTGGCGCGCATGAACATATAGAACACGGAATTGCTGCCGTCTGGAAAAGGAGAAAGATATACCCCCCAGTTAGCTACTTAGATCACCCACTCACCCGACACGAAGGCTGTCAGCAGCAGCACACACATCAGCAGCACGAGTATAGAGCGATCCTGGAAGACGCGCCCCCTCGCACAGCTTTGCCACAAGTCACGCAAGACAAAGCCTTCGGACAGCTGGCGCTGTGGCAAACTCTCGGGCAACAGGGCAGCCATGAGGAAGAGCGCAAACAATATCGAACCAGCTGAGATAACAAAGATAATGTAGGCGTTGCTGGCCTCATAAGCGTAGCCAGAGGCAAAGCTGCCCAGCAGCAGGCCCACATAGATGCACAGCTCATAAGCGATCATTCTACGGAAAGGTAAGACACATAAAGATGTAGTTGAGGTAGGTCAGATGGTTACAAAAATCTAATTTAAAAATACAAACGTATCTCAAAGCTTCATTGCCAAGCGCAAAGTAAGAGATACAAAAGTATCTCAAATATATGTGACTCACCTATAAGATCTCATTTTGCCCGTGGATACATCGCCTATAAAGCAAACAGCCGCCACGGAGTAGGTGACGCTGTTGCCCAGCAGCGAGAGTGGAATGATGCTTATCACATAGAACCAAGGACTAACCAGTCCATGGCGTTGCATAGACATATAAGCTATAGCAGCGGAAAGTATGTACTGAAGTGCATAGCCTGAAAGTAGGACGGAGTTGGAGATGAAGATTTGGCTTAAGTTAAGCTACGAGTAAGCAACCAAGTCGCACCCAGGTAGGAGGCCAGCAGCAGCGGCTTGCGTCCATAGCGATCCGCCAAGGCGCCAATAAATAAGCCACTGAAAGCGGGCACAATGCATTCGACGATCTTGATGGTTAGGAAAACGCGAGCTGCATAGGGCTGGACCTCAGCTTCGATGCGCTTCGTTTCATTCGTGGCATTCCGTGTGCCCAGCTGGCTGCAAATCGTCTCCGAGTAACCAAAGCCCGCCGTGCAGCTCTGATAAATGATCTGAGATTTCAGTATAGTAGCTGAAATATAAACGATAATTAGATAAGTCCAGCTTATAGGGCATACGAGACTTACATGAGAAATTATACGCGAAGAGCAGCATTAAGATCAGCGGCTCCAAAAGAAAAGTTCTTGGCTGCGCGCATATCTGAGCAGCTGCATCCGGGCTAGGATCTGGATTGGTCTCTACTCTTACTGCGGGCACTACAGCATCCTGCTCTTCAAAGCTTGCCTCACTGCTGATACTACTGCCGTAACTACTACGGCTGTCTGCATCATGGCTATGCCGCTTCGATTTGGCGAAGAGGTTCTCATGGGCGTGCGGTGCTTCCTCCATAATACATTTGCAACTGAGACTTGTAGAAATCTGCTTGAATTGCTCATTTCAATTGAGTTAAAACTTGCGTTGTTCTGAGATAAAATGCCGACATTCTGTGTGCATGTATGCGTGGGGTTTCCATTAGGACGACAGCGATATTTATATAAGTATATTTGCATGTGTATGCACACACAATGTCGTTGTTTGATCCAATTCATTAGTCAGCAGCGAAGTCGAACGACCAAGCTACGATTTTACTGCAGAACGTGCCTTATCTTAAGTTAACAACTAACTTTATTTAAGCTCTTTTAACTAATGTGTTACAACGCAAGCTTTTTATTGTGATCATCAAGCTTTGAACTAGGTACATAATTAAATATAAAATAGAAAACTGGGTTCAAAATATATTATCTTATTTTTTAAATTAATCGCTTTTATTATTTGAATATTGGCGGGTAAATTTTATGTTTTTCAAAGCCAGCCAATACAAATACCAAAGATAAAATACGAAACTAAAATAAAAAATTAGCTAAATAAGGCAGCTTTGGGAAGGAACAACCAACAACTAAAATACCAAATTTCGATCCATTTCGATAAAAGCTATCGATTTTGAATTAATTAATCGAAAAACAAACTACCAAATGGAAGCCAACAGAGATTTGCAATCCGCGATTTTCGCAACTGAAACAGGAAAACAATTGTCTGAATATCATATTAAATTGCTGCAAAAACAAAATATTCGAACAGTGGAAGAATTTGTTCAAGCAAATAAGTTACACAAGATACTCGCGCTTAGTATCGATACAACGGAGGAAATTAAGCGGGAGATTTTGGATTTATGTGTGCGAAGAATTAAGCTTAACTCAATTTATAAAAGCAAGCCCATAAACTACTCAACAGGCATAGAAGAGTGCGTATGGTAACGCAGTTATTTGTTGAGTTGTTAAACAATATGATAAATATTGCAGATTGGATAACCTTTTGGATGCGATTGGGCAGCCTTTGCGACCAGGTCGTGTGTGGGAGCTTGTTGGTGAAAATGATGTGGGCAAAACCGAATTGCTGCACACGCTGGCTGCAAGTTTCGTTTGTAAACAGGAAGACAATCAGCAGGTGCTATTTGTTGATACCAATTTGGACTTTGACAGCGAACGCCTAGATGAGATACTGCGGGAGAAGCAGCTAAACGAGGAAGCTATAGATAACTACTTAGATAGGATCAATGTGATTAAAGCATGTTCTGCAGAAGCTTTGCTGGCAGCTCTTAAAGAACTGCTGCAGCAGCTAGAAAGTTCCAAAGGAAGTTTCTCTCGCATTAAACTGATCCTGATTGACTCCTTGACATCGTGTTATATTCTATATCGCAGCAACTATGAGCGCAACAAGGGACGCAGCTTTCTAACAGAGTTGACCATGGTTATACGTAAGCTAGCTGTGGAACACGGCATAGCTTTTATCATAGGCAACGCGACATTTGGTTTGGATGAAGAATGTAAGAGACATGGTTTATAGCTAATTTGTATATATACATTTGTTATCTAAATATACAGCAGCTGCAGATGATGATGAAGAGCCGTTGTGTCACACAGGAGCACTGAATCCAGAGGATTTCAACTACTTGGGGGACTACTGGAGCTCCGTTTGTACCCTCATCCTGTCGCTGGAGCTGGCAGAGGATTCTGGGAAGGAGAATAGTCTGCGTGTGCTGAAGGTGCTTAAAAATAGCTGTGGCATCGAAGAGGGCAGCTGCTGGCTGCGCCTGACAGATGCTGGCATCATTTGAAACCTAGTTAACGTCTTGTTCCTGCTCCTGCTCCCAGTTGCTGCTGCTGGTAAGATTTCATTACCCTCTTGCCTGGCTCTATGCCATCGCTCAAACCAGGTCGTTTTCTCTTATTAGCAGCAGCGCCTTTGTTGCCTGTTGGTGCGGCTGTTTCCGTCTTAGGCTCACCTCCAGATGCCGCCTCCACAGAGAGATCCGAGTCGTGCGCGTATTGACAACTGGTACCAAAGCGGCAGCGTCCTTTTCGATAGTTCCAGCAGATTTTGCGTCCGTTTTTCAGCTGCAAGTGAGCATCGTTATTGACCATTTTCACATGTCTTTCCAGTGAAGCGGTCTTATGCAGTTCCGCCTCCAGAAACGGATTGCTAAACACATCGCCGGTTCGTTTTGCAGCCGCATTATCCAATGCATCGCTAGCACTCGGCAGCTTCAAGGGCTTCTGTGTGGCAGGCGGGCTGAAATTACAATTATTATATATACGAATTATAATATAAATACTGTTGACTCACCTAGTTGACTTGTTTGTTCCCTCCTTTTCGGACTCACTGCTGCTGCTTTCCACATCGGATTCTGATGAATCGCTATAGTCAGCGACAAGCGACATTGTTTACGTTTTAATCAACAATAGACAGTGTGACCGCGGTGCAGAAATGCCAAAAAATACCAACATAATTAACTACTATGCAGCACTGTTAATAAATATACTACTATACAAAATGATAACGGAAAATACCAAATAATTTATAGTACAAATGAATTTGAAAATCAAACTTGAATTCTGAACATTTCTTTCATTTGTAATGAGTCTGTTTTATTTCATAATACATATGTATAATCACTTTATGCATGCTTTAGTTAAGGTGTATATGTATGTATATGCGTGTGTGTGTATATCTGTGTATGTAAGTGTGTGTATTCGCTAATTACTATTTATACAATTTATATAAATATAAAAAATTAAACGTTTCATAGACTTTGTTACAGATTTGTTAATATGTTATGTTTTGTTTTGTTTTGTTTTGCTTCGTTTGATTGCTGACAGCCACGTCTCACTACTGCGTGTAAAAAACTTTTAATACAATAAAGAAAATCTGTTTAAATTTCCCCATCGAAAAGGGAAACCGTCTGCACCATTCATAAGTTAGGCTTGGCTTTCGTGTGGCTGATGAGGCAGATGAGGAGACGCTAATCAATTTGTTGACGTGCCGACGGATCATCGCGATCAATGGGCGGCGGCGAGGTAAGCACTTCAACGTTTTGCGCTGGTCCGGCGGTCAAGTAGCCAGCCGTTGGATTAATTCCTAGAAGCGAACACGTTAGATATAGCTTGTGCAATTCTGTTAATAATATTAATGCCAAACGCGTTACCTGTTAAGTAGCCACGTATATTGGTGTCTGTAATGAAGAGATCATGTCGCTGATCCTTGAACTCCGCCCAGACGGGATGCTTGACCAAGATTTGCGTGACTCGATCGCCATAATTGAGATTGTGGGTCATGCCCTTGAGCGCAGCGACAATTTGTGCCTTGACCGCGGATGCATTGTCCACAAATTCCAAGCGGCTGTCCAAGAGACCCAACAGAAAAGGTATGAGACCTACCTCCAGGGACTGGCTGATCAGAGAGTCCTAAAGAACAGCAAAGTTATTGCCAGACATTCTTTGATAAGCCTTGGCTAGCCTTTCACTTACATGCTGATGCTTGAAGAGTCGACTCAACGCCTCACAGGACTTCTCAATGCAGTCCCTATTTTGTTCCATGCAACGCTTTAGTGGCGCAATGCATTCCGTTTGCGATATGGCGCTCACGCAGAACTGAGGAATGAAAAGGAAATTAGTTAAAAGGATTAGCCCATGAGTCCAACTTGAAGCCCACCTCCGATAGCGACAGCTGATGTAATACTGATAGCGTGTTCTTTGGCTGCACGGAGAGCAGATTGAAGAGCTTCGGTATGTGGCCCAGTACGGGAATTTCATCCGCTAGATTAGGCTGTGAGCGTAGTAGCTCCACGAGTGCCGTCGTAGACAAGTCCAATACATCCTGTTCCGTGGAGCTCTTGCTGGTTTGTTCCACAACAAAGTCCAAGAGATCGGACAGAAATTGTTTGGGCTTGCGCAACGTCCAAGCTGGATTGCTGACGAACAAGCGCAAGTAGACGCCGGCAACAACGATTTCGTTAGACATCAGATCCTTCAGCATTTCCGGATCCTTCCACAAGTGCCTCGCATTTGTCTTTTGGTGCTGGTAGAATCGTTTGCAAGTCTCTGCCACAGCTTCGCAGACACTCGAACGAGTATCATCATTCCAAATCAACTCCGGATGCTCGTGTATGGACTCGAAGAGTTGCACAGAGGTCGGCGCCGACTCGATCATGGCATCGATGAAGAGTCCAGGTAAGAACTTGGATATGGTGATCCGCACCTTGGGCCCACTCAGACGGTCGGCTGTCATTTTCGCCAAGATCTCGGCGCACATTTCGCGTATCTGTGGATTACGTGAATTGCAGAACATGTCCAGCAAATAGATGACAGCACCCTTCGTCTGCGCCTCTTTGATCATCTCCTGGACGTTCATCAAGCCAGAGAGAGTCTCGAGCACTTTCACCTGGCTGGCACGCAGCTCTGGGTCCTTGAGCGCCACCAAATAGTTGCCCAGTATCTCACAGGCGGCTACTTCCGAGACGCACTCCTTGTTGCGAGAGACCAGAGCAACGACCTCCAACGCAACAGCCTTCACACTGGAACTCTGCAGGACATCAAAGAGCGAGATTAGAATACTAATAGGAGTCTGCTTTTATGGCACTTACATCTGCGAATATATTGTTGGCCAGAAAGCCAAAGATCATATCGAAATTGCCAATGCATTGGATCTCCACCTCGGCATTCGTTTTGATAACGGCGATCAGGGCACGCAGCACCATCGTAATGTGCAGCTCCAATTGCGCGTCGCTGGCATAATCATATTGGGCCTGTTGCAGCGAGAGCTGTCGCTCCACCTGTGCGTCCGTCTCCAGCTTCTTGCGACTCTTGGAGCGATTGTAGGCAGTCAGCACCTCGTCAAAGGTGCCGCCAGTCTTGGCCTCCAGCTGCTGTTGCTGCTGGAGCTGAGGATGATTGGGTGCCAGGGTGGGCGTTAAGATGCCATCGCTGCCCATTTTGGGTCCTGCTGGCGCTACTGCTGCAGCCGCTTTCGGTGGCAGCTGCTTGAACTGCAGGAATTGATAGGCATGCTTTAAGTACTCCAGCAGATCCATAATAAACTGCTTGGGCTGCGCAATCGGATGCGTGGGCATATCGTTGTAGATTCGTATGAAGATGCCTCCTATTTGCAGCTCATCCCTGGAATAGATGTAAATATATCAATATAAGCAATGGGATTATAGCTAAAGCTCAGCCTCTCACTTGTGCGCATCGAATTCGAAGCTGGAGACCAGCTCGTAGACCTGTGCAATGTCCTCGTGCGTCTCCTTGGCCGAGGCCAGGCGCTGCTGCTCGAGAAAGTCCTTTAGCTGTGCGCGCGTTGCATTATCCCAGATGAGATAGGGATTACGCGTATTGGCCGTCAAGAGCTTCAGCACATCACTGTCCCTTGCCGTCGCCAGCTGATTGGCAATGTAACGTGTGAGCAGCCGGTCCAGCACCTGCCGAATCAACATATTCTTCGCCTCGCCAGACACAATGTACTTTTGTTGAATGGAGTTCTGCTGTTGCTGCTGCTGCTGCTGGTGTTGCTGTTCGCTGTCTGTGGAGCTGTTCGTATCGCTGCTAACACTCGAATCCTGCTTGGTGAGCATCGCTGGCGACTCCTTCTCCTTGCCCGCTGTAATGGCCAGCTGTTTGCTCTGCAAGGGATTATGCGCATTTTGCATGTAAGCCGAGTTGGTGGTGGAGGCGGAAGGCTTTGGTTTAGTGGCAGGCACTGCTGGCTTGGCAGTCGGATTGGCCGGCGAGTTGGATTCGCTGCCAGTGAGTGGCTTGTTGCGCAACTCCATGCTGTAGCCAGCCAGAGCTATGCAGCCAAGCACAGCCATCTTAGCCAAATTATTGGCCAGCTGCTGCTGATTGGTTTTGTCGCTCACTTCCACTCCGCTCTCGTCCAGCGTGTAGTCGTACTCGAACATGAATAGCAGCAGCGACCAGAGCACACCATTGCGTGACAGATTGCACTGCAGATCATAGTTGTTGGCCGCCAGGCTGGTCACCAGGCTCACTGAGAGCGTATGCTTGAAGTAGACCACGCGGCAGACGTCGGACAACAGCTGCGGCAGCTGTATGATCTTCTGCTTGCACTTCTCAAAGTTGCAGGCGACCTCGAAGCAACGCGTCACATTCGATATGACCTGATAGTGCAATGACTCTGGCTTCGAGTCGACGCCCAAGATGGAGACGCAGCGCGTGTAGGCCTCCAGAAGCGCCTCGATGCCCTCCTCGCGGCGCAGCTCTTCGGCATTCAAGGCCGAGCAGTGGACCGTGTGGTAGCAAAGCTCCGAGGCAGCTGTCAAAAGTTGCGCCTCCTTAGAGAACAGCTCGTCGTCGCGGGTCTCCAAGCGTATGGTCTTGATCAGCTGTGGGTAGCCCGCGTACTTGTAAGGACGCAGCACTGCAAGCATTCGGGAGATTAGCTAACATTTGGAGTGGAACTGTTCTTGAACTCACCATCGGCATAGCGCTCGAAGAGAATGCTTTGGGTGCGCAGTATAAGCACTATGTTATTGGGATCTGGACCGCCCGAGCTCCAAACGGAGCGCGAGCACAAGAACTCATAAGCTTGATTGACCTTCTCGAAGATCTCACGGCCATTGGGATTCTTGTCCGGATGATACATTTGTGCCAGCTTATAGTAGCTCTTGCGTATCAAGGACTCATCTGGCTTGGGCATCTTGTTCAGATCGATGCCCAGATCCTGGTAGGCCTGCTGTATGGTCATCTGTGGCGGTTTCTTTTCCACCTCCTTGCGCCAAGCATCCAGCGTGTGCTTGAGCAACTGCACCGGATCCGAAATGGGCCAGTTGGGAAACTTCTGAGTGTCGCACAGGTGGCGCAGGTAGTAAATGTGACAGAAGAGCTCATGCTCCAGCTGCGGATAGCTGATGACAGGTATGGCCAGGTAAGGATAACGCGCCATCGTATGGCCACGCAAGCGTGGCGTGAAGTCGGCAATATGAGCGGCGATCTTTTCGATGAGCAGCCGACGCATCTCCGAACTCCAAATAACCTCGGGTGTATCGAATTCCCCGAGAAATATTTCGGCAAACTTTTCGGCGCTGTAATTTTCAAGGAAACAGACCATTGCCTCCGGCAGCAGCTGTCCGAGAATGCTGCGATGCATAATGCCCGACTGAGAGGTCTGAAAAGAGAACAGAGCTGTGTCAGAACCTGGAGCACCTGCAGTTGCCTGCTCCTGACTCACCTCTTCGCTGCGAAAGCCCTGCTTCATGTGCGTCATCTTTAGGAATCGCGTTATGGGCAAAATATTGCTGCCCGTGTACATGAGCATGAAGTAGAAGACGCCGGTCATGTACACCTTCGGCATCTCTGGATTATCCTCCATGATCTGGCAGAGGAGCGTGGCCACGCGCTCCAGCAAGCCTGGATCGTGGGTCAGGCACACCTGCACCACATGGGGTAGGCAAATGAATTCCGAGAGCTTCCTCGACAGCTTGGGTCCAGGAATTAGAACAGCGACGCCATTCTGAGTGCGGCTGGGAAAGAAGCTGGTGCACTTGATCAGTATGTCGAGTATTTTGGATGACAGCTCCGTTTCGTCATAGAGCGGCGTTCCCTTGGCTATCAGACACCATTTGAGCTGCGGGATCTGCTGCAGCGAACGCCAGCCATCCATGCCAATGGCCCAGCAGCGAGTCTTCGGCGTTATCAGGCCCTTTTGCCAGAGCTCTTTGAGCTCCGAGTAGGTAATCGGGCCTTGACGCTCCGCCTTTTGACCATCCTTCTCGATGTTGTAGTACCAATCCTTCTCCTCATAGGCCGACATATTGGGGCCCGCTTCGATCACATTCGTTTTGGTGTTCAGCTGTGCGCGGCCCTTGTGCAGGTGAGCCAAGGTGATTAAATCCACCAAGCACTGCACATGATCAATCAGAGCGCGGCAATTGGACTTTTCCAGCACCAGGCAGGATATCAGATTGATCAGAGCATCGCGCATGGATGGAGACAGGCACTAACAGACACGCAAAGGGCGATCATTTAGAGATTTGATTGAAAGAGTTCCGGCTATGATCTTACCCGATCGCTGAGCTGTAGAATGTAGGACATATCGCTAAACTTGCCAATCTCCTTGTGATAGCGTCTATAGACCTTGGCCAGGGCCTGCAGCGAAAAGACGGTCATCTGGTCATCATTGACGCGCTGCCGGCAAAGCACTCGTCGGTACAGAGCATTGAACAGCTCGACGCTGCAGATAAGAACACAAATCAGGCAACAAAGTTCGCATGGATAAGAGTTGCACCTACGGGTCCTTGACCAAGTTCTGTGGCCAATCATCCTTCTCCAGTATGAGTCTTATGTAGTAGTCGCCTATCTTGATTTCCTCTGCGAGGCATTGGTAGCCCACCTCGAATTCCTGATAGTTCCAGGCCACGATCATGTTACCAGCCAAGTCGCGATCGTTGAGGAACTGCCTCAACTCGTTCTCCAGACACATGCGCAGCTCCTCGCGAGTCTGTGCCAAGCAGCCAAAGTAAGTAGCTGTTACGATTCCCAAATAATCCATGCAACTCACCTTATGATTCCATATCAAGTTGGGCAAGCTGTGATCTTTGGCAAAATTGTAGAAGAAGTAGGGCAAGTTAACGATTGCATCTGAGGTTTTCTTCTTCTGCCTGCGATTCCGCAGCACTACGGGACGATTCTTTAAGGCTTGGGCAGCTCCATCCTGCTGCTCGATGAGGTTCATGCCCCAATGCTTAATACCCTGCAAATGCTTCTCTATCACATTTTTGCGAGTCTTCTTGGAATGTTGAATTGCAAATTTGAGATTGTCGCGAAAGTTGAGTTTATCCTCCTCCACATCCGTCTCTGGCACACTCTCCTCTGTCTCCAGAAAGGTCAGCAAGCCAGCGGGCTGTAATTAAACTCAGGTGAGAACAACATTTCAGGGATGCCTCACTTTCGTATGACTCACAAAAATGCGTTTGAACAATTCCATTGCCTCGTCGCTGTCTGTCAGCCAGAGGCCAATCAAATGCCTCGATAGCTGACGATGCGTTGTCAGAGTGGGATCATTCGAGGGCGTATAGAGCGCAACCAATAGATGACGACACAGAGCTGCCTCATCCAAAGCCAGCGCCTGCATTTGCTGTGCCACATGCAGCTCCCCCTCCTCGATAATTGCGCGCAGCACCAAGCCGGCTCCTTTGACAATTGCCAGTGATGGATGCTGAAAGAGCTTATACAAAGATCTGCCCCGCTCGGCCACCAGCTCGAGCAGTATATCAAACTGCTTGCCATCTGTGGTCTCGCTGTAAGGCACGCACAGAGCGAAGGTCATGAAGTCCAGCATCGCCGACAAAACCAATGCGCCGCTGCCATGACTCTGCAATTAAGAAGAATGAAACTTGAGCTTCTGATTGTTCAGATTCAGAAAGTACAATGGAAATCCTTTGTTGTACAGTGTAATTGAAGCTCTCTCCCTCTCCCTCTCCCTCTCTCTGTCTGCCCCTCCGTCTCTTACCACATGCATGGTCCACATATTGAGCAACGTTTCAAGAAAAGATTTCGATGACAAAATGGAAGATTTGTTCAGCTGCTCCTGCTTCAAGTCGTGATCCGTATTCACCGAATGCATCAGAGAGTTAATCATATCGATCGCTGAGTAGGTGACAGCCAAGTCTTTGCGTCGCAGCGCAGCGACAATCTTGGTGCCAATTATCTCACGAAAGCTAGAACATATAGATTATAGATAGCGTCAATTGGACTATTTCTAGTAGATAAGATCGCTTTGTACCCGGGCAGATTGGTAAACGCCGCGTAGCCCACTTTGCTGGCCAGCAGGCGCGTTAGCGCATGGAATATCGCCTCCAGCTCCGTGTTGCTCAGCTGAGCCGTGGGACTGTCCAGTTCCTTCTGAGCCAAAGCCTGTAGAGCGCTCATTATAAGCTTCTCCTTGTTCTCCGCGAATAAGCTCTGCTGGCAATTGTTCATTAGTATATTTCTCAATAGTCAAATTAGAGTTTAGCTCACATCCTGAGTAACACTGTAGTTGAGTCCACTGTGCGGCACGTTCGCATTGAAGCGTTCGAGTATCTCGTGGCGCTTGCTTGGATTCTGGAAATTGTTGATAACCAAACGCAACAGATTCGCTTCGGTCTCCTCATCCACAGAGCTGTTGAGCGGCACGTAGCGCTTGCCCCTCGGCGTGTTGCCAATGCGTATGTGGACATCCTGATTGCCACTCGAGCGCACGGCGTCCAGCACAGTGGCCAACAGAGAGTCTCGATCGTTGGTGCTGTAGCTACGCACGATGCCGTTTTTATACTCAATGCAGAATCGTTGCAGATTGTCCTTATCGCGCACCAGGGCAAAAACATCAGCGAGGGGTCGCAGCGTGCACACGCTGTAGGTCTGCGGATCGCGCTCCAAGAGCGTGACCTCCGTGAGGCAGAGTATGCGCTTGACTGGATCCGGGTGCCTGGGCGTTATCTTTTGCACTGTGAACTCTGTCATCGAGGTCTGGAACTGATCACCACTGCAAGAGATGGAGAGCATCAGCAACTGATCTGCGATTGCCAGTCCCTTTCGCATCACACTCACCTGTACTTGCCGAATCGCTGCCTTTCGAACTGCTCGCAAGTTATTTGACTTTTGAGTATTTTGGTTTCGATGCCGAGGAATTGCGATGAGCGTTGGACAATGTTCTGCACGATCTCATGGTGATTGAGCGCCTTGAACATGTGCAGGCGACTGAAGCCGCCGTAGGCCATCACGATGCCATTGTCATAGTCCGAGATGCCTGCTTAAAACGTGCGCGTAAACGAGAAACCATAAAGGTGAGTGTAAAAAAAAAACAAAGAACAGAAGAAAAGTAAAAACAAAACAAAGCGAACACGTATTAAAATGTGAAACAGGACAAAAAACATTGAACACATTAGATGGGATCAAGGCGGAGGAGGAGGATGCTAAAGCAGGAGCTACGGAAATGCTAATGGAAGTGTGCAAAGGCAAGAGCGGAACTAAGCTGAAGGCAAAGCCAAAAGGAAAGACAAAATCAAAGCCAAAGGCAAAGGCTAAAGCGAGGCCAAGGGCAAGTCCAATATCAAAGCAAAGCCCACAAGGAAGGCGGAGGATGAGGAGTTGGCCAAGGCCAGAGCATTTGTCATTTTCATTTCAAGCCTTGTTATAGGTACCTATTATTCCTTCAATATCCTTGTACATGTAGCTAGTGAGCACATCGTTTGTTGTGGGATCCAACTGATCCAAGGAGCAGGGCGTGACCTCCAGCACAGTGGGCAAACTAATGCCCGACCAATGATATTTATAAGCATTGAAGCGCTGCAGGAGAAACATTTATTTATTTAAAGATAACTGAAATCAGAATTTGCTCACGAGTGCATTTTTGGGCTTGTCCGCGAATTCCCTGTAATATTTCAATATCGAGCTGAGTATATCGTTGCGATACTCCGAAGAGAGCTTGATCGAATCCAGCTTTTTATCCTTCTTTATTGTTAGCACAAACTCATTGGGAATCTGAAATTCAAATGAAATACATTTATAATAAATTGGTAATAAACATGCTATATATATGCTCACATTTGTGGTCTTGGTGGGTGCGGCGGCTACGATGTCTGAGTAGGTCCAGCGATTGGTTAGATCAAATTTGTCTGGATTGTAGGTGGAAATGCCGCTGGTGCCGATGGATAATATGCGCTTATATTTGCCCTTCCACGAATGCTTCGTCACAATGAAGCATTCCAGATCCAAATGCTCACGTGGCGGCAGCATCTTCCGAGCAATCCAAGTACTTCAAGAATTCCAACAATTTCTAACTGTTTCCAATTATTTTAATCCAACTAGATAACAAAACTGCAAAAGAGTGAGAGAGAGAGAGAGACCGAGAGAGAGACAGAGACATGTAAGCTAATATGCATTAATATGTGTTTATGCTAGTTCCAATTGGCGGCACAGCTGATTCATAGCTAGAAATCTCGAAATCAACAAATTCAATGCTGATTAATCAACGAGCCATTGACCAAACTTTTATCAACGACCACGGCCCACACGATAGAGAGCAACAAAGACCGAAAAGGGGAGTAAACGTGACGACGACGTCGACGTCGACGGCTACGACTCCCAATCAGAATCAGCGGCGTTGCTAATTAGCTTAAGTGCTGTTGCTGCGGCTGCTGCTGTTGATGTTGCGCTGCAACATAGTGTAGCTCACCTTAAACATTTAATACATTTCAATTGCTAGCACTTGAGTTTTACAAATTATTGTTTATTATTTCTATGAATATTCAACTTTTTAGTTATTTGCAATTTTTGCATTTGCATTTTTTTTACAACAGCAGCGCAAGCAATGTGACCAGCGCTGGGAAGCACTAAAAATATTAGTAAAATATACCAGGGCTGCAACGGTTACTAAATTATTTTCTTACGATAATTTAGAATGTAGCAACACAAAATTATATTAATTTCATTAACATAGTTAATTTTTTTAGCGTTGGTATGTAATATGTATAATTTGTATATATGTATTTAGAAAGTCTAATTTTAATTAAAAAATTAACTCTCTGCTTAAGGAATATCACTTATGTATTTTGTCACCTCATAGCCTTTTGCGCAGGGCTACCTAAACAAACTCATCTCCAATGCACGATAACTTATCGATTGTTACAATTTAAGTGCGCGCCAGAAAATAAATTCAAATAAATTTGCATAGTTATTGCGCACCAGCTATAAAAGCAATTATTTTTTTTTGCATTTTCACAGCATATAAATTAATGCGCATTTAGCTGGCAACCTAGGTCATAGGTATTAAGTTAATTTCTTCAGTAATAAAACTCGTATATCATTTGGCTTAACTATCATTAAAAATTTTTATTTGATTGCGTGCAGATAAATAAATGTATTTTTTTCGTTTCTGCTTTAATCTGTGTTGAATAAAACGTACATTTATCTAAATGCAAATAAAGATGGCAGAGTTTATGTATGTGTGTGTGTGTGTGTGTGTGTCTGTGTGTACCTATTTACTATATAAATTCAAGATAAAAACTCTCACATTAACAAAACAAAAGCAAAAAACAAACAAAAATAAAAAACAGTTGGACGACGATTCGTATTTTACACAGATGTAGAAATGATGCTGCATTATCTCATAACTGAGCTCTAGTTTATATATATATATATGTGTATCTGGGTGTGTGTGTTTAGTCATGTAAATAATTTTATGGACACGCACTGCTTCAGCTTAGATTTTATAACCAGTTGATGGATGAACATGATACGAAGCTAAGTCTTAGACACACTTTACAAAAGAACCTAAACATAGTTATTTTTATCATGTTGCTATAGATGTGTGTGTGGGTGTGTGTGTATGTTTAAAGCCCAATTTGATTGTTGGAATGCATCTGTGTGAACGCAGCAACTGGTCAGCAGGAGCATCTGTTCTTGGTCTCTGCGCTCGCATCGGCTGCACTCAAATTGAATTTATCCGCATCATTCGCATCGGCAGTTATCAGTTTGTCATTGATGAGTATCTGCAGATGATTAAAGTTAATACAGTTGATTGATTGACTGCGTTAATCACCTACTTTGTTCACCAAGGCACGTGCGGCTTCGTCGATGTTGATGTTCTCCTTGGCCGAGGTCTCAAACCAGCCAGCGAAACCATTTTCCCTCACATACTCATCCATGCGCTCCGGCTGCGTCACAATGCCCTGCTTCTCCTGATCGCACTGTGTGATAGATAGTTTAGTATATATAGTTCATGTTAGATCCCCTGTGATCTGATCATCAATTCACCAAGAACTTTACCTTGTTGGCAAGCAATATGCAGGGTATGGGACTGCCGTCGGGTAGTTGGACCTTCGAGTCGAGATCCTCTTTCCACTTGCTGACGCAGTCGAAGGTTCCACTGCGCGTCACATCGAAGACAATGAAAGCGCCCACCGCTTCCTTATAGTAGACCCGCGTCATATTGCCAAATCGCTCCTGTCCGGCGATATCCCAGAGCTGCAGGCGCACTATCGTGTTGGCATCCCAGTGCAGCACCTTCAAAGCAAAATCCACGCCGATTGTCGCTCGATAGTTTTGGCTGAAGAACTGATGCACATAGCGCTTGATGAACGAGGTTTTGCCCGTGCCCAGCTCCCCGATCACCAGGATCTTGTAGAGATGTTCGCGTTTCTCGCCGCTGGGCGACATTATGGTCTGCAAGTGAGAAAGAGAGAGAGAGAACTTAAGAGAGAGGCTTATAGAAATGTGAACAATGCAGTGGGGCATGCTCGACTGCACAATACTCGTTCAAAGACTAGAATCTATAGATATATAAATAACAGTTCAGAGTGGCATCACAGGTATTCTTAACACTTTCGCAGCTTAGTCGACTCTCGCTCCAAATACAACCAATATGCTCGCTTTTCACAACGCGAACGAGCATAAGAATACAGTAATGCCCTACAAACGTTAACACTTTATCAGCTCTTAGTACACACTCGTCTCTAGTTGTAAAATACAGCCAATATACTCGCTTGTCGCCACGTGAACGAGTATTGGACTGCAGCAATTCAGGCTTAAGGCAGTCTTGACGCAACAGTCTCCAAGCCAATATGCTCTCTTTGCACTTAATAAACGAGCATTTAGGGTAGGTGTTGCTGGCCGTGTGGTTCGAGGGGTCGCCTGACTATGGAGGGCAAACACTTTTGCGGCTTCTTTTGCTTGTTTTTCAAGCTGCAGCTGCGATTGAGTCCAATAGAGCTTACCGGTTCCATTTCCTGGTCCATAGTCAAATTGCCAAAGGCCGGCATGAGCTTGGAGTCTTTGTCCAGCTGCAGCTTGTCGTCCTCCTCCTGCTCGTCACCCGTATCCTGATCCTCCTCGCCGTATTCGCTGGCCACGGACTGATAGCGCACAGTCTCTCGCCTGCCTTCGATGCTGTCGTGGTCGGACAGTGCCAATTGCTGCTTGAAGCTCAAGCGTCTGAGGCTGGAGTCGCTGGGCTCCTCGCTGGAGCTGGGCTGCTGATTGGCTGCGGCGGCTAGAGCTGCCTCATAGGCGTCTGGGCCGCGTACAGCGCTGCCAACGGCGAAGCGCACGACAGGCGCGACTGATGCCTGTGCCGATTCCGCTAATGAAACGGCGTCCGACGACTCCGCCAGGCTGACCAGGACCAGGGTGGACGAGGTGGGTGGCGAAGGTGGCCTCAATTCGAGCTTAGAACTGGCGGGAGCCGGCGCTGGCTGTAACTCCGAGCTGGGCGGCGTCACTAGCGCCTGTTTCTCCAGAGCTGCCGTATTGCTGCCTTTATTCAAACGATGTCCACGTTGCTGCTGCTGCTGCTGCGGCTGCTGTTGCATCAATGCACGCTTCTCACGGCTGGGCAGGCTTAGGGCTTTGCTAGCACCGCTGGACTTGTGCTGGTCACCAGCGCTGTTCGCTGACTGATGGCTCGACGCACGACTCGGCTTTGCCGGTGCTCGTTCGCGCGGCGGCGTATCTCGTCTGCTCTCTGTGATAACGATTTTCTCCTCAGTCTGAGGCGTTGCTCTCAGCTGCTGCTTCGTTTGTTTCTTCTGCTTGGGCTGCTCTTTGGGCACCACCTTGGCCACAATTAGCTTAGTTGTCTCTTTTGTCGTCGCTGTTGTTGGCTTTGCCGTTGCGGCCGTTGCGGCTGTTGCTTCTTCTATTGCCGTCGGTGTCGGTATCGGTATCGGTATCGGTGTCAGGTAATCCGTTTCGCTTTTGCCTTTGCCTTTGCCTTTGGCTTTGCCTTCCACCGTCTCAACTTTCTTGCCACTTATGGTTATCTTTAATGTATTGCTCGATCCCAGTCCCGTTCCCAATGCTCTTTCCCTGCTGCTGCTGCTGCTCTTCAGGCTTAGCTCATCGCTCGTCGCCAGGCTGTGCGGTCGCTCCTTCGTCTTGGGCTTCAGGCTGCCCAGCAGCAGGCGCCGCGTTAGACTCTTCTTCTTCTGGCTGGCTTTCAGTTCGCTGTCCAGACTAAGCTCGCCCAGGCTGGTCAGGTCCTCGCCCTCGCCGCTGCTTATGGCCGTTAGCTGCTCAGCGCTGCTGGGCTTCGGCTGCTCCTTCTCCTGCTTCTTGGTCTTGAGGCTGCGAAAGGCGGCGGAGAAACGTGAACGTGCCTTGGCCTTTGGTGATTCTAGCTCCTGAGTCTGGTCCTGCTCCTGTATCAGCTGCTGCCCTGCATCAGCTGCTGCTGCTGCTGCTGCTGCTGCTCCTGCCTCTTCCAGGTTTGCTTTCGCTTTCGCTTTACTCTTGCCTGTCTGCGCCTGCTCTGCTTTTGCTTGTTTGTCAGCCTTGTGCATATTCCTTCAGCACGCTTGCTTTTGGTTGGATTCTAGGGTATCACATAGGGTAGCTCGATTGCTGGCAGTTGTCCTGCGCACACACACCCATACACACGCTTTGCACGCTTTTCACGCTTTTCACGCTTTTCACACTTTTCACGCTTTTCACACTTTTCACACTTTTCACGCTTTTCACGCTTTTTGCCAGTCGCAGCGACCGCAACGAGCATTCGCAAATGGTGCACTGAAAATCGCATTGCTAAAGTCTCAGTTTTTATAAATTTGTGCAACGCCTCAGAGATTGAGGGACCCCTCGGGCGCACCCCCTGCCCTGGTTAGCCCCCGCTTGTTGTGGTCAGGTTTTGCATTACATTCACAGCCAACAGTTAACCAACACGCTTACCAACACTGCCCAGCCGAGCTGCTGTAGCTGAATGTGGCCGCCCAATGCTGCGACAGTCGCTTATCAAGCATCAGTCTTTGTTCTAATGAATGAATCTCTCTCTATTTCTGATATACTTGACTCCAGTGTGTCAGGGGCGGCGGCTGTGCTTGCCAAATGGGGCGTGCCGAGGGCTAACAAGCAGCTAACTGTCGACTGGCCATAGCCGGGGCGAACCTAACTAGTTTAGCTAGTTCTTCACTGCTTGACCCCAAGCACTTCGCTGGCTTCCTTTTCAAGCTGAGGATTTGCCAGCGAGAGACGCGGCTCAAAAAGAATCTCAACTGGTGGGTGGCACATAGACAGACGGACAGACATATAGAATTACGTTTATTGCAAAACGTGGTAAGCCACAATAAAGACATATTGCATATATACAATTACACCCTATACCTACCATACCCAACCCAGCAACCCATCTGCCCCCACCCCATCTCCCTCTCTCTGAGCCAAAGAGTATGCGGAAGATAAAGCCAATGATTTGTGTGCTGTGATGTCATGTCAAGTCTCACGTAACGATTTGCTCAGTTTGAAACAGACTAAATGCCAGCCCATATATAACGACTTGCTATATCATTGGCCGATCTATATGCCTGTGACTGCACTTGTCAAGCATACACTTTGCGGTGCTCAGACTAAGCGGAAGCTTAAGAAGTATTCCATAGGTTCCATACGCTGCTGCCAGATAGTATAAGGTCTAACCTCATTAAATGTAAGTTGCGTGGAAAGCCGGGAAAACATTTCCATAATCAATTCAGACAAATGCGAGGCGTGAAAAGCGTCTATGCATAACTTAACTGAAGGATTTGAGAGCAGGACAACGCAATTAGAATACATTTGAGCGAGAGATAGCAGAGGCAAAGGAGAAAGTAGAGCAGAAAGTGTCTAGAGTGTGAGGCATTGATAGACAACAGGGAGGCATATGGAGAAGATAATTAAAAAGAGAGAACAGAGAGGGGTGAGATAGATAGGGGTAGTGAGAGAAGGGAGACAGACAGGGAGGGAGAGATGCGGCTGAGGCAGAGGCAGCGGCAGAGAGAGCAAAAGATATAGACAGACGAGTGATAGGGGCAGAGAGAACAAAAGAGACGAGGAAGAGAGAGAGAGAGATTTATTAAGAAAAGATATAGAGTGTAAGAGAGAGAGAAAGCTAGAGGGAAAGAGAAAGGATACAGAAAGATAGAAGGGACAGAGCGAGAGAGAGAAAGAGACAGAGAAAGAGTCTAGAGAATGAACAGATCCTTAAGAGAATGAAGTCATAGGCAAAGAAACTAAGGAGAATAAATATAAGAGAAAAAGAAGAATAGATAGATAAATAGAACAAAGCAGAAAGAAACGGAAATGCTAGAGCTTAAAACAGAAATAGTAGAAGTAGAGATGGGAGTGAGAAAGACTATTGAGTGAGAGAGAGGGGCTTATAAGCGACAATAAGACAGAGTAAAAAGAGAGAGAGAGACAGATAGTGGGAGAGTTAAGATAGTCTAATCCGATTCAATTGGTGTTAGCTTTGCATTTCGAACGAGCTTTAAGCTCTAATTAAGCTTTGCCTAATCCTTCGTAGCCTGCGTGTGCCACTTGTTCTTCAGGCTCATTTCAAAGATTCTCTGTTTTACCTTTATTTCACTTTCAACTAAAGCGAGAACTGCTTTTGTGGCACACAAAATGTTTGCACGCAATCGACAAAAGGAAGAGCGGGGCGGCGAGGCGAGGGGAGTTTCAAGTGTTTAGCAAAAGAGGCAAGGATATGTGAGCATTTGAAGCATTTCGCTTAAGCGCTGCAATTACCAACGACCCCAATCTAAACAAAAAGGCAGCTGAAAGTGGAGCTCAACTCGATGAAACATGGCAGAGCGAGAGAGAGAGAGAGGGAGGGAGAGAGAGAGAGAGCTGCAGTGCTGGTGCCGTTTAGTTAAATCAGGAAATAACTGAAACTGTTGGCCCTTTGGCAAGTAGACTAAGCAAATCCATAAGCCAACTACAGTAGGGACTCGCTAAAGGAGTACGATGACTTTTATATTAATTACGAATTAATGAGCTATAAAATAAATTTTAATAATTTGAAAATCAAAATACAAAATATAAAAAATTATTTTTAAAAATTTACGAGCTGAACTTTGTCAAATTCCGTTAGTCAAATTAGTTAATGTTCGTCTTAGCATTGAACTACTGTACTTCGCTTCTGCATGCTGCACGCCATTAGCTGCCCTGCGGGCGTCCTTTTTAGGTAGGCGTGGCACAGACAACTACTTCAACAGGAATGTTTTTAATACGCCCCCAATTTGGCTTCAACGGAAATCGAATTGGAATTTCCATAAATGGGGGTTTTCTTCATGCCACGAAAGTATGCAACACTTTGGCGGCAGCTGGCAAAAATATGCAATGCTTATGCGAGATTTCGCTTAGGAAAATTCGCTTTTCATTGCGGACAATTATAGTTAACTGCGAGCGAACGAATAGGAAAATTAAGCGGAAGCGGGAAAGCGGGAAAATTAATTGCATTTGATTTCAGTTATAAATATAAGACATACTATGTCAGTCTCAGTCTCAGTCTCAGTCTCAGTCTCAGTCTCAGTCTCAGTCTCAGTCTCAGTCTCAGTCTCAGTCTCAGTCTCAGTCTCAGTCTCAGTCTCAGTCTCAGTCTCAGTCTCAGTCTCAGTCTCAGTCTCAGTCTCAGTCTCAGTCTCAGTCTCAGTCTCAGTCTCAGTCTCAGTCTCAGTCTCAGTCTCAGTCTCAGTCTCAGTCTCAGTCTCAGTCTCAGTCTCAGTCTCAGTCTCAGTCTCAGTCTCAGTCTCAGTCTCAGTCTCAGTCTCAGTCTCAGTCTCAGTCTCAGTCTCAGTCTCAGTCTCAGTCTCAGTCTCAGTCTCAGTCTCAGTCTCAGTCTCAGTCTCAGTCTCAGTCTCAGTCTCAGTCTCAGTCTCAGTCTCAGTCTCAGTCTCAGTCTCAGTCTCAGTCTCAGTCTCAGTCTCAGTCTCAGTCTCAGTCTCAGTCTCAGTCTCAGTCTCAGTCTCAGTCTCAGTCTCAGTCTCAGTCTCAGTCTCAGTCTCAGTCTCAGTCTCAGTCTCAGTCTCAGTCTCTTAATCTATCTCTATCTCTGTCTCTGTCTCTGTCTCTGTCTCTGTCTCTGTCTCTGCCTCTGCCTCTGCCTCTGCCTCTGCCTCTGCCTCTGCCTCTGCCTCTGCCTCTGCCTCTGCCTCTGCCTCTGCCTCTGCCTCTGCCTCTGCCTCTGCCTCTGCCTCTGCCTCTGCCTCTGCCTCTGCCTCTGCCTCTGCCTCTGCCTCTGCCTCTGCATCCGTATCTATACGTGTCTCTCTCTCTCTTCTCTCTTCTCTCTTCTCTCTGTATCTATACTTGAAGATAGAGCTATCAGTATCTATGGCTATCTATCATCTATTCGTATGTATTAATCTAGATCTGTCTTTATAGCTGCATCTGCCTCAATATATCTGACCATTTCTACATTCATTGCTGTATCTGTATTAGAATCGATATCTAAATCTGTTCATATCTGTATGTAGAGTATATATTGTTAGGTATACATCAGCTTAATTATGTTTAGCTATATCTATAACAATAGATACATTTGTATCTACTACTGTATTTGCAGCTGCATCTTTATTCAATAACGTAATGTAATTTCTAGCTATATCTTAATCCGTATCAGTATCTATAGCTGTATTTTTAGCTTTATCTGCTACTTTTTGTTTACATACCATTGTAGCTGTATCTATATATGCAGTTATTTTTATAAATGTATCTGTAGCTGTGAGATACTTTTAAAAACGTGACCTTGCACTGTCTTAGCTATGTGCTCACATGATAGATAATAAATTATACCGATGTAGATGTATATATGTATATATATGTTGTGTAAGTCTGCAACTTGCGTGTGGCAGATTAAAATGCGAAATTAACAATTGTTGTTTAGCTGCAACAACAGGAGTCACAAAGTGCATTGGCTTCAGGCTTGCAACGATGCGCAAAAGCTGATTATGCAAATATTTAAATACATATACAGAAATTATATAAATTATATATATAATTATATATATATATAGTGAGAGATGTTATATTCTAAGCGATTACTCAATGAAAAGTTTTGTACACGCGCCGCATATTTGATACTCTGCCACATCGTCGGGCATCGATATTGATATTGATATCTTATCTCTGTCAATGTCGAGTCACCCAAAAAAAAAACGAAAAACGAAAAAGGAAAAAGGTGAGCACTGATTAGATTGAAAAGCAAAGCCCAAATGCAGCCATGATTCACTTGAAACAAATGCCAATAATTATAACTGTTTGTCTTTAATTAAGACGTTGGCTCATATGGAGGGGCTCTCTCGCATGCAGTTCCCGTTCCATTCCATTTCAGTCCCCCACTTCAGTGACCTTAAAAATGTGACGTGAAACGCTGCGAAATGTGTTCCAAGTTGATTCCAATAAGACAATGCATATATCTAACTAGCAATCGTTTAAGTATCGCCCAGACACACCCACACACACGCACACATTCTCACACTCAATTTGCTGGGCAGCCAACCTCGACCGGCTTGCCTATATATATATATATATATATATATATATATATATATATATATATATATATATATATGTTTTAAATATAGTATATCGCATATCGAGAGTGAAATTCCATTGCCCATAACACGTGCCACGGCTCGAACCAACGGCATTTGTGGCAGCCAGTAGCCACCCACCTCTCCTCCCCTATCCTCTCCTTTCCTTTGCCCACTTTACGTTTATCGTCGTGTTTATTTGGTCAACAATTTAGATTTCATTTCCTCTTAACTGTGTGGAAATTGCTGTGACATAAGATTCGAATGTTTTGTGTTTTCCCTTTTTCCTTGGCAGCTTTTCATTTATAGACTGATCAAAACCTAACATGATCTTGAAATGGAAAAAATAGAAAAAGCTATTTATAAAGATGACGACGATCAAATACCCTTGCAGACAGACGAGAGATTGCTTTACATAATATCCAATTCAATACGCCACACTTGAAGCCATTTGAAATTTTAATTGGTCTTCCAATTCTAATTAGATGTAAATGCTTACAAAATAATACAAACCGGCAGCTCACCATTACTGCACAGTTTATACTGTTTATAATTCCAGTTGGAATTTGAGTTGCAAGTGATTATAAAAAGCTTATCGAAATTCTTAACACTGATTACGCATATTTTGTTTATATATTTAAAACTGATTAAGCATATGTATATTAACTCTATGCCTGTCACACTCTGTGATAGAATTTTAATACCCAACAAACCTCATATGCTCTCTCGATTATAATTGGAAATTAAAGCGCATTCAAATAGTAAACAAACACTTCCAGCTCTCGTTTCCTTCGCTGCATTCCTCATTACAAAAGTTCCAATTCCAATTACTATTCGAACTCGAAATCGAATTTGAATTTGCATTTTCAGCTTTTTTTTCGCCGAGCTGAACGTGATTTAAGCTTATCGATTGTGTTAAACACAAGAGCTTTGAATATATTAACTACAACAACTGCTGTCACAACAATTTTTGATGTTGTTGTTGTTGTGAGAAGGGTTGGGAGGGAGTACAATAAATATTTGTATATGTTGCTGACAGAGAGCGACATGCCTTTTATTGCAAAACTTGGACAATGCGAGTGGAATTGATAAACTTTTTTTGGGCTTTATGCAACATTAAAATATAACGAGGGCTGTTTAATGGTTTTAGCATGTATACAAGCATTAAACGCATATCTTAATGAACTTACAAATACTTCTATATTATTTTGCTGGCTGTTTAAATTTTTAACTGCCCTCGCACACTGAGATTTTCTGTGTTGTACTCACCCCATTATAGAGATAACCGTTATTCCGATTGATATCCATGTTGTTGATGCGTGCAGCCGGCATATCCGCTGTGCTAAGCGCCTCAACGGCGCTGAGATCGATTTGTGGTTTCAGCGACGCGTAAGCTGGCGTCACGCTGCGCAGCGAATAGTGGGAGCTGCTCAGCTGCTGCTGCTGCTGCTGCTTCGATTCCAACTGGAATGCTAGCTGATGCCGAGCTAATATGGGCGATTCTTTGGCACTAAGTGCGCCCAAAGAGACTGCGCTTAGCGGCTGATGCTTATGCTCGACTGGCGATTGGTCCTTGTTAGAGCTGTAGCAGGCGTAGGCGTGATGGCAACGTACGCAGGCACAGCTGCTGTTGCTAGTGTTGTTGGTGTTAGTGTTGGTGTTGTTGTTGCTGCTGCTCAGATAACTGAACGACTTTGATTTAGAGTTGGAGTCGACAGAGCTGAGCTCTGGTTGGGAGTCGCAGAGGTTGCGGCGTCCGGCTGAGGATGAGACAACGCTGCAGCGTATAACGCTAGTTGCCATGCAGTGGCACTGGGGTTTATATGAGGGTGGGGTGCGTGTTATTGCCCTTTAGACTTTGAAAAGTAACTCTATTTGTTGCTGTTCTTGTTTTATCACTCCACTTGTCTGCTCCAGCAGTCAAGGTCATTCGCACGCTCTTTATCTACACACGCATGTACACATACACATACACATACACATGCGTGCTGTCACTGTTTGCTCTGTTTTGTTTGTACCGTTTATTTCGCCTTGTCGACTCTAACGGCTCAGCAACATGTGGTTGTCGAAAAAACTTCTACGGTTGCCCTTCTCTCTCTTTCTCTCCTTCTGTTACTCTCGCTCTCTTCACTTTTGCTCGAACGGTAATTAATGCGCCTGCACTTGAACTTTCGGCGCGCACTTATCAAAATTACAATTTATTTTTAACAATGCAAAATTTTTTGTTTTTTGGTCAGGTTATCACTTTCTGACACTTTATGGGGTTTATTGAACTCGCTCGTTTTGGATGCAATTGCTGCACTTTTTGACTAGCGCCAAATGTCAAGTTAAGTAAACAAATTGCAAACTGGTTTTTCGGGCCAAGAAATGGAGCACTCAATTAAGCATTAAAACATTTAACATTCACATAGCCAATTACATAAGCTTTTACTTGTATTTTAATTGTTGTTTTATCGTTGTTGTTATTATTCCTCCTTGGCGTTAATTTAATATCACGAAAATTAAATTCACACACGTACGAAAAGAGAGACTCAAAAATGACGCTCGCTTTACTACAGCCAAGCACACAGAAAGAAGCGCAATACGTCCACTCGCCGTCACATTCTATTGTTAACTGAACGAAATGCCTTGTGGAGAGCTTGAGATGAGCGAAACGGTTATTTAAATGCTTGAAACGGTTGGAAAGAAACGGTTTTGCACAGCGCGCCAATTCGCACCATTTGAATTAAGTGTTGACAATTATAGTTTATTTCATTTTCATTAATGCAAAAGATGACAACTCTTAAGTTTATTATTAGCTGCGTACGTACATATAAATTATATTAATAAAAATTACACATGATTTATATTTAAAAAATATTAATTTTCACGAAATGCTACAAAAAGTAATTGAACGAATGCCTGAAACGGTTATCGTTAAGATTTTTCCACAGTATCGCGCCAATTAGAAATTTGAATTGAACGTTTGTCGACAGCCCAAAATAATTTCGTTTGAAATAAAACAGACCAAACCATTGTAGAAAAAACGTATAGAAATGTGATGTTTTTACAAATTATATTTCTTAAAATCTATACACAGCTATATTTCAAAGCGAAGCTCTACACTTGCACTTTGACTTAGAAAAGATAAAGCTTTTTCGATTCGTTATATATGCTTCTGCATAGGAATATCGTTTGCATTTAAGACTTACACAGGCTCTACTTACTCAGTCTGCACAAAAATATAGTTAACAATAGTTAAAATATGTAAATCTATACATAATATAAACTAAATAATTAACAACTAAATGAAATGTGGTGGCCGTTGATCAACATGTCTAAACACTTCGCGCTAAATAAATATAGGTGTATGAAAAAGGCACAGCTTAAGTGGTTTCTTGTTCACTATTGTGAGCGTCCTTGCGGTCTTTGCTTCGGGCCAGCATGAAATGGGAGACATTCTCATAAACCAAGAACGTGACCATACAGGCAGGCACAACCCTTATAAGATTCGCTTTCAAACCCTTGTAGAAACCCTTCCAACCCTCGAACCTGCAATGAAAATCAAGCAATAATAATATAAGTAATTTATCTTCAAGCACCTTAACTACTTACAATGCAATTCATTTCAGTTTAGCAAAGAGATTCTGCACAATTTAAAAGAACTTTATATATATATAGATATATTCATATACTACTTACTTACAGAGGCTGAAGGCGAAATAAAAAACAACTCGTGTTGAGAACTTGTGGAAACATATTTTGTTTTATATAGTTTCTTGGCATTTTAATGTTTTAAGATATATATCTTTCGCTAATATTCTTTTCATGAAAGTTTTCTTTTGTTCGTTTCACATGTGAAATGTTATCCTAAGGTTATTTAGTTATTTTCCAACAGAAAATGTGTAAAATTATGAAGAATCTTTTTGCCAAAATGAAAATTAATTATGCCTAACTAGAACAATTTATGCAAATAAATAATTTAACTAAACTATAAACTAAATGTTTGTGCAAATTCTTTGAAATTACATTTCACATATTTTTTTTCCATTTATAGCACAAGTTTCCTTATCGAATTTTATAATATATGAAAAAACCATATAGTATCAATTCTAACTATGGAATTAACTTAATCTCAATTATAAACATATACTAACTATAATTAATTACAAAAGTAAAACAAAATCATTAAACAATAATACAAAATAAATGATACGCTTTGTCATGCAGCTAAATTTCCGCGTAGATTCGTGTATATATTCATATACATATATGTATATATGTATATGCATATATATGGGTATATCTTATATATGTATAACTATCATTTAGTTGAATACTCTAATACGCCTAGCTGGTAAGCTTCTCCCATATGAGCATAACCATGCAAATGTTAGGCGTTACGTGGACCAAGTACGGCACGAGTCCCTTATAGAAACCACGCATACGTTCGTACCTCCAAGTCTGTTTAATGCAATCCCAGGTGCCGTTATAGCGATGATGGTGATCCTGCAGACGTGCACGAACCACCTGATATGGATATGTGGCTGCTGCTGCAATTAGCTTCGACATCGCTGCAAATGCCAAATATTCACTCGTTGCCTAATAGAGGGAGACGGAGAGAGAGAGAGGGAGTGAATGAGCAAAGTAGAATTTAGTTGAAAATAAAATTCTATTGAACAGTTGCCAAATAGGCATATATAGCTATACTATATGCACACTGTAGCAAGAGCTAAGTATGTATATGTATATGTATATACGATATCTATTGATATATATCTAGATGGCAACAGCTGGATCATGTGATGCTACACACCAATTTCGTGTCGATGGGCAGCTTGCGATATTCATTATATGCGTTCTTCATCTCCTCGTAGGTCATGAACTGAATGGCACCATGCGAGACGCCCAGCATGCCAGGCACAAATCCCCGATAGAGTCCACGAATACCCTCAGCCTTATAGATTTCAGATAGAGCATGCACCATGCCACGATATTCACTGCTGCCCGCCGAATCGTATTGCAGGCAGAGACGCGTCTTTACCACCCAAATGGGATTTGTAAGCAGTAATGTGAGAGCGCCCGATTCGGCGGCTGCCAACATATGCATTGTGGGGCCTAGAGACATCGTCGTATTGCCCCCCTGTATAAACGTCTTGATGGTGTTGTAGCTGAGAGATAGTAAAGAACTGTTAATCAATTCCTACCTTTCAATAGGATTCAGTTACTTACAACATAAAGTATAGACCCCACGAGGAGCCGGAGCCCCAGACATTGGGTGTAACGCCCTTGTAGAGTCCACGGAAGCCCTCCTGACGAAAGATGGTGGTAAAGGCGCTGCCCAGTCCACGATATTGAGGCACAGCCGCTGTGCGACCATCGTTCACTGTAAATGAAACCACAAACGAAACTCGTAAATGATAAATATATATATATTTACGAACTGTTTACTGTTCAGTCTAGACATTAGCCTTCAAGAACTAGGCACGCTTCTTACGTGACTAATTGAGTAATAACCTTAAGGTACTATATTTCTTTTTATCAAACTGCTAATGAGTTGCAAAATTTGAAAGTTTTTGCTAATCACTTTTTGCATTCTTAAAAAATAATAGCAAGTAAATTTGAATGGTCACAGTATTAGGAACTGTCTAGACTTTCAATCAACCAATCAACTAGAAAAGGCAAGTTGAGGTTATGTGCTAGTGATTCATAGAGCAATGTTCAATCAGTCCATTAGATAGCCATAAATTGTTATGTATTAAATTGATACACAGCTTTTTTTTGGCAATGCTTTTTAACCGACTGTACATCGAATCAGTTTCTGTTGTTGTTGTTGATTTTTGGGCCCTGAATAATGGCCAGCTTCAACAACAATAGCAGTCAATAACAACCTCAACAACAACTTGTTGTTTTCGCGGCCAACAGAGATAGCGCTAATTGTTCGCAACGGATGTGATAACGAGTCCAATTGGAAAAATGGTGAATGTAGCTTTATAGGCTGGCTGTTGCTATAGCTCTTGTTTGTGCGGGCATTAGCTTGACTTTCGATGTGTCTATAATTATTTAAATATATATTTATATATATGTCTATATAGAACAGAAAAAACACAAGCTGCTAATAAGAAACGCTGACGCTGCGATCTGCCCTGACAACAGCGGCGTTTTGGGGGCTCGTCTCTTGTCAGAAGATTCTATTTATAGATGGCGCTGCTTTCGCTAGTTTGACTTGTGATTGACCTTGGCGGAGAGGCTGAAGCAACAGAAATTCGCGCAAAATATCCTGTTCGAATGTACTACAGGAAAGGGAAATTAAAGAAGAATGTCATATAGAATATATACCAATTATCTGTAGACTGTTGCTCATACACATATTGATAAAACATATATACATACATATATAGAAACAGCTGATGTTTGAATTCAGATCGGCCACACGAATTTAGTCTGTTTTGCAGCGCTAGCAACTGCGCACTTGGTAACAACAACTGAAGTTGATTTAACCAGTTGCTTCTGCCGATATATACACACATGCACACACATATATGTAGATATATGCCGTTAACAAAACGTACAGTCAACATTTTCGTCACGTGATGCCGCTGAACGGCAGCAATAAACAAGCGAATGCGCAAGAAGTAGAAGTGCAAAGGTCGACTGTGTGCTACCCTGTAAGTAACAGCATATGTTGTGTTGCTAACTGCTTTGCTAGTTATTTTTTATCGTATATAATATATGTATATGTATATGATATTTTAATATATATATATATATATATATTTGCTATAGATTTCGAGCACCATAATATACCCATCATCTGTGGCTTTAGTAAACGGTATAATAAAGATAAACAAGTTTACGCCATTTGCTGACGTTTTGATTCGTTTTTCCCCCGCTAGATGCGTCATACAGTCGTATGTGCACACATATGTCTATATTCATAAGCTTATACTCAAGATACTGAAGTGCGTGCGTGTGTGTTGCGAATTCTGGTCAATAGATGGCGTCAGCATATGCTTTTGCTTCTTGGGGTCACACGATGTTTCTTCATTTACTTTTATTTTATTTGATTCGCTTGAACATTTTTCGCATAAACATCTTAATTTGTTGGCACTGTTAACTTATTTAATTCAGATTATCAATGTATTTATTTACCATTAAAATTGACAATTTTAAACAGGTTAAGTGAAAAGTTTACCGACTGGGAAAACAGAAGTTAATAAATCTAAGAAAATCAAAACAAACAACAAAAACCTGTTGATGTTGTTGTTGTTATTGTTATGGCTTATTATTGAAAAAATCGAGCAAAATACGGAAACAAAGCCTAAACGAGGACAACTACTTATATGAGTATATGTATATATATATCTGTACAAAACAATAGCTAAATGCTGAGTCATAATATTCAAAGTACAGTGAAAGCTCATCAAACGTAACTCCCTTAAATAGAAATATAGTTTTCGGTCAAGGTAGCTTTCACTGTATCCATTATGGCAATATAAACTTAATGGAACCCAATAAATGCCAAATTCTGCGAGGGGGCGCGTTCTTCTAGCTCATTCTCGTACGTGCGTAGATTGCGCAGTATACCCTGTTGATAAGCCAACAAAATGTAGCATAATCGGTCAAAAAAAAACTTGAGGACTTTAATTTGTTTTCGCAAATGTCAAGCCGTCAATAAATTAATGTCGAATGGGAACGCAATCAACAGGCAAAAGTTTATTTATATATTTACATATTTATAAGTTTTTTTAGCTCCACGTGCCGCTGTTAGTTTATTTGCTGTTATTACAACATTACCAGACTAATTTAACGCCGGTTCAAAGCGTTCATGGAAATTTTCGAATGCAACTGCAAACACATGATAAGACGAATAGAAAGAGAGAGAAAGAACCAACAATGTAATCGCATGCAGTGCTGAGCTAGTTCTTTAGAAAAGCTAAATTGTACGAACAAAAAAGATTATTGATAAGCCTTATAACAGATAAAAAAATTGCTTTAGTCTTATTGGCTCAAGCCAAAAATTCTGTTTTAAAATAAAAGCTAATTGGATATTACGACTGAAAATGTATATGTACAAATCTGAAACAAAACACTTGCATGTGCTAGAATAACGCCGCCTTTGCAGCCCGACAGCTTGAACGAAAATGTCAAACGAACTGCGCAACACTAAACGAATACAAAACAGAGGAAGGGGAAGACGCAAATCTACAGTTACTGTTTATTGCCGACAGTGCGCTCTTGTGGGTCAGTCACGTGCCAGACGCTCATATCTCGCGCAGACTGGGTGATCGCATTGCAATCATTCGTTTGTTCATTCACAGGGTACTCACCAGCAAAGCGTATTTTAATAAGATCCAATGGGTGCAGGATAAGCGTGGATGCAACGCCGCCTGAGACGCCAGCAACCAGATGCTCGTATTTAACATGGGCAAACACATTAAATTTGCCAGGGCTGCTTGGAGCTGTATTTGCGTTCATTTTCGGTTGCGAGATTTGTCTTTGTTGTACTGTTATTAATGTTGTTAGAAGCTATTAGCTTGCTCTTTTACTCTTTATATATATATACGTATGTATACGTGTATACGTATTGTATTTACAATCTTTGGCCTGTAGCTGTATCTTTGATCTACGGCGAATCAGAGAAACTTGTTACACATGGCCGCAATTCGCAGTGAATTCGTCTTGTTGCTAGGCGCCGATATATTTTGTCTGCTGCTGCTACTGTTGCTAACGTTGTTATTGCTTTTGCTGCGTATACTTAAACATTTCTGCCTTTGTTTTGTTGCCGAGCACATATTTTCCCTCTCTCTTTGGCAAATTGACTGCTGGGTTGTTCAGTTCAAGTAATTTTGCTTTTCAATACAGTTACTCCGCAGCTTTCAACACATTAATTGTGTATATGGCTGATGAAATATGCAATCGAAAATTGTGATGTTTGACGGACGCCTCTTCGTCTGCTTCGTTTTCATCTGATGCTCAATAATCATTTGCAAATGCTGAACATTTGCTTATGTAATGATGTTTGCTTTCTCTTTCTTGCCACAATTAGACTGCTTAGTATATTATTTTATTATTGCGAAATACACGTGTAGACGATTAAATAAGGACAGACTATTCTTTTTTTTACTATTTGAATGCGCGTGCACAATTATACTTTTTCTGTGGCTTTGACTCTCACAACACGCCTTCTTCTGCGCGCTCAACCAAACGACGAGGAAAACACGAATGAAATGCTCAGCAGCCGATGTTGGGCTTTTGTAGTGTTTAACGTAGTATATCGATACATCGATAAATGAACTTTCGCAGTAGAGAGGTTGCTGCCATATATGCTGAATGGAAATTAGGAGGGTGGCTTTAAAAGTACCATGAATGATCAGATATTAGAATTGGAAGAAATATTTTTTTAATGCGCGACTTATAATTTGATATGACTAAACATCATTCGATTACAAAAATTCTATTAGTTGCTTCCCAATTGATCTTATCTGAGAAGAACCGTTTCAATACGTTTAAAAAATTTGGCGCACAAGGATTTTATGTATAAATTTTGAGATATTTAGGTTCTGTAAGTTATACGTCTAGAAATCTGAAATTTATGAATATATATCTTTCATTTCTTGCTGGCAACGGTTGCTGCGCCATGTACGTGTTTTGTGTGAATGTTGCTACATATTTTGCTAGCCCACATTTATCGATATTTTTGTACAATACTGAATCGATATACTATACTTGAATAGTCTGGCCATATTCCTGAACCGCCATTAATTCAAAATTTTCTTTCTTTTTATTTATTTCGTATCAAACTTTAAATTATTTATACAGCAATTTGTTTATATTCAGCACTTTAACATTATTATTTGTTGTTTCCTCTGATTGTTGCACAATCGTTAATATTTTGAAAATAGTTTCGTTGGTTTTCCTTCATTTATTATTACAAAATACAACTTATTATTAGTTAGAACGAGAAAAGTTTTTATGTTTTTGTTTTATGTTTAATGAAAGCGGCGGACAAATTTTCGCGAGTGCCTAATTGTTATAAAAGCTATTGTCATGGATATATATATATTGCCTCAATAGGGGTAAACAGTTATGTATATGTATATATATAAATAAATATATATATATATAAATATTTATATGTATATATAGAAAAGTTTGTAACTTGTGTTTATGTAAATTGGTAGGATTTTTAGATGATTGCAATTTAGTATATACTTTGATTTCTTTTCTTTCTTTTTTTTGTTTTGTTAAATTTACAACAGTTTCACATTCGAAAAACACAGCTCGACTTAATGCTTTCGTTACGATCTTTTGTAGCTAGTTAGGTTAACAATATATTCTGTTTTTGTTTTAATGATTTTTGGCAGGATTTTCTGTGTGTAATCTGTGTGTATTCCTTCTTTCATTTAGCTCGTAAAAAGACCTAACATTAAAATTATATAAAATAAATAATTGAAAATCATAATCTTAGTCGAACGTCGACTCCCGCTTTTTCTCTCTCTCCTTCTTTCTTGAGCGTGTGCAAAATATATAAACATCATCATTCCATTCCAACACGACTCTCTTTGCTTCGTCTCTCTCTCTGCTCGGCTTGGCTCTGCTTTGTTTCTGCTTCACTTTTTTCTCTTACTTTCGCTCTTTGTGCCAGCTGCTTTTGCTCTCTCCCTCATTTTTTTAATCCTCTTCATGCGCTTTATCCTTTGCTGTGCTGTGATCATTGGCACTTTCGCTACCCGCTGGTTGGCTGCTGCTGCTTTCCGCTGCCGCCGTTGGAGCCGCTGCTCCGCTGCCATTTTTATTGCTATTCCGAGCATCCGTCTCATCGCCTGCAGCTGCATTCACCTTTGCCTCCAAGGCTCTAATACGATTCTCTTGCTTCACAATAATTGCCTTCAGCTTGCGTATTTCATCTAAAATATTGCGATGATCCTTTTCCTACATTAATTAAACTTAATTAGCATACAGCTAACATATATACATGTCTCCAATACTTACCGAGAATATCGCTGCAATTTGATTGGCATCATTTGATTCATTGTTATTCGCGGATGAATGATTGCCGCCAGAGAGTGGGCCGCCTCCACCGCCTCTTGATGCGGACGCCTTGTTCAATATGTTGGCCTTCTTGCTCACAGAGAGCGTTGTATTACCGGAAGAGACATAGCCACCCTGTACAATGGAGACGCGATCCTGATTAGGTTTATTAGGGTTAGCTGTTCAGTTTGATGGGCTTACAACAAAGAACAAAGAACACAACAAGCGCCACGCAGCGTGCGTGTTAAGAGCGTAAGCATATGGCTGTGTAAGTGGTAGGGTATGCATATGTGTGTGTGCGTAAGTAAGCAGATAGACTGCATTAACATTCATTACCTTTTGACTTATACTGTTATATTTTTAAAAACTCTCTTTAACTATGTACTCTCTTTGTATGTCTGTGTGTGTGTGTATGTAATAAGCAGTGCGCTGCAGCTAAGCGACAACAGATCAACAGCATAAAAACGGCTAAAAAAAAGGCCAAAAGGCATTTAATAGGAAAAGCTAGATCTGTTTCAAGGCAAATAGCTAAATTGCCAGCACTGATGTTAAGGCATAGTATGTGTGACCAGCGGAACGCGTTTAACAAAAAAGGGCTTGGTATGTTTTAGGGCAAATAGCTAAATTGCCAGCACTGATGTTAAAGCATAGTAAGTGTGGCGCCAGCAGACGAGACGAGACAAGCAGCAAGCATAACACGAAATGTTAGCCAAGCAAACATAAAACCATTTCGTAGATATCGCCATTCTATAACATATGTACAATCGATTTCTTTACGCTCCCTCTTCCATGAACAGCAGCTGCCACAGTTTAAAAAGGCAGCGCTGTTATCCTAATAAACAAGAGCGATACTCTATGGAGTTTACGCCACTTACTTTTAGCGAGAAGGTTAACGGATCTGCATCCTTGCCCGCAATCCATTCTTCGGCCGTAATGGCCGCATCTTCCGCTAATGTGTCCGGATAGAGATCCTCCTGGAAGAGATCTGATTTACGTGGCACTGTCATCGATATCACCTGGCAGAGACCATTGTTGTTTAGCCTGTAGAATTTGGCTATTTCACAGGTGGTTACATCACAGCCACGCTTTGGCATCAGTCCAATGCCACGCTGCGGATCGGGCGTTTGAAATGTGTTTATATAGTGCACAAATGGAGGCTCCGGCGTGACCTGCAAAAAATAAACCCATATTAATCAGAGAACAAATAAAGCACATTCAAGTTAAGTCTTGCCTCGAAATAACGAATCACGGAGTCTCCTTTGCCGCACAGATAAATCAGATTTGTATCCGCATCGTAAAGAGGAAACATCACACCGTTCGATGTGTCCAGCTCGACCATGACAATCGGTTCGTTCAACGCGTCAGGGGCACGCAACGAATACTGTCGCTCCGAGCTGCGATTGAAGCCGGTCGTAAAGATCAAGCCGTGACGCAAGAAGATCGCGCGAGTCGCCTTCGAGCCCTCGTGGCACATCGCTTCGCTCTCCAGCTCGCCGCTACGTGGATCATAGATGCGAATCTTTTTATCCTTGCAGGTGGTAACCAGCTTCGAGCCATCCCAATTGAAGCAGGCGCTATAGACGATATCCGGGTGCGAGTCAATGTGCACCAGAATCTCGCCAGTGCCCACATTCCAGATGACGACCTGATTGAGATGAGAAGTAAGGATGTTACTCGAGTTCAATTGGGCACAGATAAGTCTCACTCGAACTCTACCTGGTTATCGGAGCCCGCTGTGAGCAGCACATTGAGCGCCGAGGGATGCCAGAGGACTAAGCCAACGCGTCGCTGATGGAACACCAGATCCACAACGGGTTCGGTGAGCGTGCGCGACAGTCCTCCATCTGGTATTTGCCATACCTTGACCACACAATCCTCCGAGCCCGAGGCAATTACATTATCGTTGTGCGGACACCATGCGATGTCCAGCACAGGACCCTTATGACCGCCCACCAACGGATGATCCGCCGCTATGCGCCCGACCTATAAGAGAGATTTAAAAGACGATAAAGCAGTCATATTTGATAATCGATTCGCAAATAAAATTAATACTCAGAAACCAGACTCGTGTGTAGCAATTCTTGATATATAAATATAACGCCAAATTGTGATTTATAGGCAAGCATGACTGTATAACTGTTCTATATATGTATATATGTTCTATATATGTGAATCATGAAAGCTAGCGCTATTCTTGAACTCAAACTTGACTCAGCAAATAGCAAAAACATATTTCAATCAGATCAGGAGGCACTCACTTCTTACTCTTTGAGATTTGTAAGATACACAGAACATGCAATTTGTCTCTCTATATTCTATATCTTATATCCTATATCTATATCTTAAATCTGTATCTATATCTCTCCTTTCTGTATGAAAAGCTTTTAGCCTACTCAACTCTCTATGTATCTCTCTTTCTCTATGCATCCAACTCTTCTCTCTCTCTCTCTCCCTCACTCACATACACACACACCCAATTTTATATATTGCTTACGAATTGCTAGTTCTATCCATCCATCCACTTAATCGTGTCCATTTAATGCACGCTCCAAAAATTTAATTTAAGGTCAGCCAAATCCATAAAATATTCAAATTTAGAGCGTGTGAAAGCGGCGACTACCGCGACGGCAGCTGCTGCTGCTGCATGAAAAAACTTTCGTATGGAACGCATTTTGCATACAAATTTGGGCCCAATTAGAATTGACCAGGCCAAATAGCAAACGAAACCAAAACGCGTTACTAAGGCAAACGCCCACACAAAAGGCGAAGGCAAGGCAAAGGCGCAGGCGAAGACAGCTGAGCGGATGTTCGCTTTGCTTCGCAGATGAATAAATTTTTCAATTTTGCAATTTTTCAATATTTTTTCACTTAACATAGAAATCTATAGATATATATATAGCTAAATAGGGGCTGAGGCTGCTATATATCCAATATATATTTTTTGCAATTTTAATTTATTTTTATAAATTTAGACAATTTGATGTGTCATGTTGGCTGCGAGCCAGCAACTGAAAACTGCGCTACGTTCAATGAGAAATTCAGAGAGAGTGAGAGAGAGAGAGAATTCTCTACAGAGTTGCGCTGAGTTTTGCTTGCATAGAATTCATAATGCTAGGATCTGGCTTTATTTATAAAGCATGAGACATGACAGAGCAACAAAAGGCCAAATTCAAGTGACCACGTGAGGGAATGACAGACTAGAAGATACCCGGAAGACTTCAGACTGAAGCCAAGAACTGATTTAAATGTTTCCCTGTGGGCAGATACTGGAGATTTGAACTTGTGAATTTGCTTAAGAATAGGTCCATATTTCAATTAGCCTGCAGATAAACATAGATAGATCTATACTTTAGGATTACTTCGTAAGCTATGCTTTATAAGTTATGTTTGATGTCTGCACCAGCTTGTTTGAATGGTTCATTAAAATGAACTAGTTTACTGATTTACTGTTCTGTTCAGTTATACATGAAACACACGAATTGCTTGCTTAGTTATAGCAAAGATCACACAGTGATTCATTTTTCTCACT